GAAACGGAATTTAAATGGTTTTTTGTGCAATTAAGGTAACCAGTACATAATAGGGACTTTCAAATGTTCGGAAGAGGCTTTAAGCTGGGTAGTGGCAGTGATATGCTTGTTTACAATTTGACTCTCTGTGGAGCGTACGGACTTGAATGTAGATGAATTTGTAATTTCGTTTTGGAGAACTTCCGTGTAGTATATGCGTCACACCACCACTACATTATTTTCTGCTTTGTCTGCCGGTACGAACACAAACCGCTTTGCGAGTACTTGGAGTTTATTTTTTATTCTTGAAATGGGAATATCATGGACCCTATTACTAATTTCAGAATCGTTTTCAAAATGAGATATACGAATATTAACAGTATTCATAATTTTATTCAAATAACTGTCTAGAGATTTTTTATCAGATTTTTCACGTTTACACCAATTTTTACAGTAGACAGACAGAGCGTCTTTAATGACCTGACGACACTGTTTCCAATCTATTTTAGATGGAGGACGATATTTCGGTCCTTTCTTAAGAAAAGTTATGACCTCACGGTCTTCGACGATTTGAGGTCTCCTGTTATGTTTGTATTGTTAACGTGTACTTTAATATTTAATGTAATTGTTTATATATATATATATTTATATTCAAATCAGCACAATAATGTTAGATCTGCAAATTTGCGAAAGCAAATTTTTGTTCTTCCCTCGCCCGGATCCGAACCCATCCTATTGGGATATCGAGACAACACCGCCTGCACTGTGTCCAGATCTCTAGACCACTCGGCCACCTAGACTGAACTAAAAACTCAGCTTTCGGTGGCTTAGTGTTACCTTTTCCCGTCAGTGGAATCTAGAGTTGTAACACAATACATGATATATTAGGCATGAAGATGGAATTGATTGCAGATTAGCTAAATTATCTATCGTAAAGGATAGTAAGTACGTCTAAACAAGTGACAACTCTACGATATATATATTCTCTGTAACTATGTAATTTGTAGTTAATGAGAAACAAAGTTCATACAGACACATATCCACCAAAGTTCAAATGAAGTGGATGTAAGCAATTATGTCCTTTTATACAAGGTTTTGTTTGATTCAGAGTATTTTTACAAACTAGTCGATTTATCCCTCACAAAAACAAGATATTTTTATCTAAGTATTCTTTCCATTAATTATTCTCTCCGTTTTTTGGATATTTCTTCATTTTTACAATTGTGAGTCTATCAATTAAAATCCGAGAAGAAAATATTTGGAAATCGTCTGTTCAATGTCGAGAACTTCGTCGTTACAACAAAATTCACAATATATTATCAGTTCACACACTTTTACATCTTGCCGTTGTCTACCTGCGAAATCGTCTGTTCAATGTCGAGAACTTCGTCGTTACTACAAACTTCACAACATATTATCAGTTCACACACTTTTACATCTTGCCGTTGTCTACCTGCATTTGAATGATAAATTATTATTCATGGTAAAACTAGGCTCAATAGCAATAAAGGATGACCAATGCTCTTTATGTGGTTGTCTTTCCACTGATGTTGTTCAACATTTAATTATGTACTGTGAACACATTTTGGATGAAAGAAATATCATGTTTTACGGAATTGTACCAGTTCAAGAATCTGTACGCTTTTTTCAGCAAGATGATGGCGATATAGTCGTAGCCTTACTTGGTGGTATTACAGATTTTATGCAACTATGAACTCTGACAACTGAAAAAAACATGGTGTGCTGCTTGGCAGATCATATATTTCATCTATACGGAAAATGTAGAGGCGAATTATCTTAGCATAGATTTAATGTTGGACACTGAAATATTTATCATTAGACAAATGTAGCATATACATATACATGTATATATAAAATGTATGGGTCTTTTTTCTTTTTCTTTCTGCTTAAATTGTAGTTTGTAACTTATGTGCTGTTCTTTTTTTGTAATTATTTCTATATCTTTCAATTACGTTTTTATGTATCTGGTTATTGTATTGGATCTAAGTTTTTAATATCTCGGGCTAGCATCAGTCGAATCGGGAACATCAAATTCAGTAGTAGCATGGGTCTATCCAACAACTGTAGATACAGCCATCGTAATAGTTCCGTATGTAAGAAATGAATAAAAAAAAATTAAACTTCAAGGTCGTATTTATTTACAGCTTTTGCTTTCATTTTTTTTTTCTTTGAATCCTTTGACTTTAATGTTGTATGTCAAATCTTTACCTACTTTTCTTCTAGACCTAAATGCTGCCTTTTATCCGAGGACTAGGAAGCGGTGTTGTCCATTTACAAATTTAACATCACACATTTTTGAAAACAAAAGATGTATTTGATGTTTGTGTACTAGAAACGTGCGATTACGACATCTTTGATACGAGTCATTAATATGCATGAAATTTTTGTCACTGGACACATACGTTATCAGTATTCTTTTCAAGAGGAATGTTTACATGTATCTATAGCAATCAGTGACATTTTAACGTCATGGACATATGGTCGGATTTACATGAATGAAATAAGTCAATTGACGAAGGTTGACCTTTCCCCTGAAACATCATTGCGGTTTATAAATCAGATATTTTCAAATGAAAACACATTGAACCACGACACAACATCCTTTGAATTTTGTAATTAATTGAGAGTGATGAAATGATTCCCATGGATACCGGGGCACGTGTCTCATCTTCTTTGTGTGTTTTAATTCATTAGCTGTATCAGCAGAGCAAAATAAGCACGATACCGTTATTTCTTATTATATTTTTGAAAGTCATAATCTAATGGCACAAGTTGGACAAAAACATGTATCTGACAGCCACTAAACTCCCTCCAACGATAGATAGACATTCATATCATAACTTTTACAAAATGTAGAATCTGCCCCTTTTAATAGGGGACGGACGATAATGAAGATAGTCGCGGGGACCCGAGTTTCTAATTTTTATCCGCAATCATAGATTATAAAATTATAAAATGTCGCTATTTCAGATATTTGATAACATGTAGCAAACTTTGATATTTAGTTACAATTAATTCTGATTAACATACTGAATTTTCATTTATATGATAACTTCTACATTAGTTTATTTTATGGGGATAACTTCATTTGAATAAAACAGAAATCTTTTATCTACAGTTGAGGACGATGTCAGATCTGTTATTTATGTTTATTTTATAAAAGTATTCAATTATACCAGCTGAAGTCCATTATAGTAATTATAGTAATGGATTTCTGATGATACATACATTTTACAATCTATACCATACATTTGTTCACCTCCGTTTGTGTTTATAAATAACATGAAAAAAAAAAGTATGAGAACATTTCGCCGTATACGTGGTGAAAAATAATTTCATCATTTACATAAATATAACTAGCAAAAATTCAGAAATGAAATGAAGCGTTCTGAAATTTCCTTTAAACGGCGACATAAATTTATCAAAACAAACTTATTGTTGAAACACTGTATTACAGTTTCAGCGTTTTTATAAATTCATGATTTTAAAAAAACAAAAAAAGTTTGCCTTCAAGAAGAGCCTAAGTAACTTAGAAAATTTGGTTCAATAATAACGGTTTTAATGAACAGTTAATGTGTCTACCGTCCGACTTAGACTTAGACTTAGGTAACAATACACAGTTAGGAAAAAAACTTAAAATTGACACTCAAAATTTTTACCACTACAGCCGATATGTTCGTCCAGTTTTCTGAATCAATTAACATTTATACCTAATATTCTCATTGGAATTCATAGAGAGAACATATGACATATGACTCCTAAATGTGTGATTTGAAAATGATTTGACTATTATGGCATCTGATTTACTGTTGGTTTACTGGGTACTTTATAATGTGGAGGTATAACACACCAAAATAGTAAATTAGTTTGTTTTCGCTTTTATATGCTCTTCTTCTGTATATGAACGATATTCGAACGTTTGCAAAGTAAACAGGTGACAACATTTTGTTTTTTCCTACTTTTGCAACAAATCATAAAATCTAAACGCTTTCTAAAGTGTATTTAACTGTTGGCAAGTGATGATTATCATGTCTGAATACAGGAAAAATATGTGCAGATAATATGTCAACTGAGATAATACGGGCTCCACTAAGAAATAAAAACGGAAATTGATACAGATGATACTATCGTGTTATTAACTGACTGTTTCTGTATTGGCCATTAAGATTAAAGATTAAAGAGGTTAGCTGTATTGGTCCAAAGATTCGATGAGTCGAGAGCCAAGACGGCTGATCCAGAATCTATAACAAGGCCAATACAGAAACAGCCAGCTCATAAAACTTTCATTATGATTATAATTTTTCTATTAAACTGAGAAACTTACCGAGAAAGAGATACCGGAATTTTTATTTCAACTTGTCTTTTCGCAGTAACGATGCCTTTTGGTCAATATTAATGAAATTTCTGATTTCTCGTCCAAGTACTTAATAGTTGCTAATTTAAATCATCTTATCTAGCAAATAAAAAGTAGCTGGGAAGAATTAATCAGACATTTTAGCCATTCTTACTCCTTCTGTGATCTGATGATTGATCAACGGAAATGAAACAGTGATGATAATCAAAAGTTGTACTGGGAAAGGCTGTGGATTATACCGGAGGTGAATTTCCTGTATTGATAAGCCCACTGATTTCTCAATATTGGACCGGGCGTATTAATATCAACAAGACGGATTCATCAGTACATGCTGTTTATCCGTATTGCGCCTGATTTTATCATTTAATAAGTAGGGATATGACATAGATTACACTATGTATGCTACAAATCTACTCTTTTATATCAGGTTTGGTTTTACTTGAAAAATATTTTTTTTTTATATTATATTTTGTGTAAACGACATTTAAATCCTGAGCTCACATTACAATGTAATTTTAAGGAAGTTTATCAAGTATTTATAGAAATACTGTAATATGGGAAAACCACACCGAAAATTGTTGTTTAAAGGAAAGATTACTTTATACTTATTATAATGTTTAAACCGATTTGACATAGCATAGTAAACAAAGATATATTTTAAATGTATTTAAACCATTTCCATGTAGTTCTTATGTAATGAGTTTCAAGGTATGAAAACATAAAGATAATCAATTATCTTATTTGAATTCTACAGGAATTAAGGTTGTTTACATAAAGGTGTGGAAACTATGGGATAACATTAAGCAATTCAATTACTTCCAAGGTAGGTGGTTTCATATTTTAATTTATGGATAATGATGCGATGCTAATGTGTACCCTGTCAAGACATTTAATACATTCTTCCTACGTATAAAGGAAGATGTAAGTGTGGGATTATTTTGGTAATAAATTCAAATTCGACAAGCAAGGAAAAAATACCCAAAACTATTCAAATATACGGTTAAAATAGGACAATGCCTAAAAATACACATAAAAAATTTGAAAATAAAACAAACGAAATCAAAACAAATTAAATAACAAAAATAAAGGAAACGTTGTAACAGTTGTAGTAAAGACAATAGTTGGGTTTCAATATAACAAGCAAAATCGATTTTAGGAACCTATAAGAAGGTAATTGTTTCAGAATTACGCAACTTATATTGTCTAAAATAAATCGAGATTTATTTATAGGCAGCTATCGAACATTATAGGCTTGTAATGACTTTCCTTTGTTTTGGGGTTTATAAATAGCTTTAGGTTGCACTTCGGTTCATCTAGGCAATGCTATTTCCCATAGGAACTTCTTTTACGACTAAAAGAAATTCTTGCAAAGTTCAAAACATAGGCTTGTGTGGCATAATATACACATTTATATGCCATGAACTTCAAAGAGTTTAGACTTATACTAAAATTATGTACTACCCTCCCTTTACCTTGAGTCATCCTGAGAATTCAATGTGTGCGCTATCCAACATTATTTACATTGGTAAAATTCCAAAAGAAAATAAAACAATTTACATGGAGATCATATCTGGGAACCAGTAGGAAAACAAAAAAAATATATATAAATATTAAATATCTCCCCAAAAAAGGCTTGGTTTGTGCATCAGCTTTTTTTTCACAAAGTGCAACTTATAGTCTTTTTATGTCCTGTATTCTGAAATACACCATATCTGTACTTTTCCATTAGATGATTTTCATTAGATGAAAACGTTAGTGTTATAGTTACATTTTGTATGAGTAAGATATTACCACAAGTTTGACGGTTCTTATTTGTCCCGTTCTGGTCTCTATTTCTTCTTCCCAACATTCGTGTCAACTCTACACTTTAGACATATCTGTTTATGATGTAAACAAAAAAAAACAAGATTGCAGCGTTAGAAAGAGGCCTATGTGCTTGCACATTAATCTACTTTTTTTTTAATTCTAAGAAGGGAATCGTGAAAAAAACTAGAAAAAATTTCTTTGTTGTTAATATGATTCGGTCATTTGTTTTCCATATCTTGCAGAGTAGCATCATTTATGGGGCCATTCATGAAAATACTGTCAATCAGAAGTATTGACTTTATCAATTTAGCTATTATTTACTTACCTACTTCTAGCTGTTTGCCAGTTTGTTTGTTTTTTTTCAGGGCGAAACTGTCTTACATCCTAATGGTAGTGATCAAAAAGTACTAAAATGGGAACGGACAACGTTTCGGTAATAAACTTAATCCATTACAATAAAATAACAATGCTCCAACGTCACCCGTTGCATATATTTAATCTGCCAAAAGGCAATAACTAAAAAAAAAGCATTTCCTTTAAAACCTTTTATAAATATCTTACAAGAAATGTAACATGTCTTCTGTTGTATCGGTTGAACTATTTCAGAGCATTGCATCTTTTTATTGTCCTAGTGCCTATGAAACCCAATTGTCTTTCATTTAAATGAAATATTGCTACACCTTTTTTTTGGCGTCTTTGATAGATTGATTTGTGTGTTTGTATGCATTTTTTCGTCAGTTGTGTTGTACGTCTGTGATGGATGTTTACACATTTTTTTACTGCTGTTTCCTTATTATTGTCACATTAATCTATTATGTCTGTTTGGATTGGTTACCGAATTTTGTAAACATAACGGAACTATAAACAACTGTCATAAAAGTTGTAGCTACCTATACAACCAGGTTTGGTTTAACCCAACTTTTTCTTCGGAAAACACCTGTACCAAGTCAGGAAAATGGCAGTGGTTTTTGCCACTTGTTCCGTTCATTGATAGCGTTTGGTTTTATCAGTTTTTATGGACTTTCCCATTTTTAATTTGCCTTGGAGTATTTTTGTTATTCTTTTTTGCAAGTGTTTTTTTTTTTTGTATAGAGTCTGTGCAAGTCTATAAACTTAATCAAATTATCTATTATTATACGTCAGGTAAAAAGCACATCCAAAACTGATTGGTGTTTCTGATATAGGTTTTTCAGTAGCTGTATTCAACTAACAGATGTGGTACCTAATTATCTAGCGGCAGCTTACTTTCATAGCAAGCCAATTTGACTTTGCTTTCAAATTATGTATTGTCATCCTTTAACCAGCTGAAATGTGGGGTTTCTTTTTTAGTTCTACGTATAAAAAGGCACAGGAGAGGTTTAAGTACGTTAAGCTGGCTTTACGTTAAACTTCTTAATCGATTTATGAAATTTGAACATCGGTTAACATCTGTTGACTTCATTTACCCCACCGGATTTTGTGGCTGCACAAAATCGGACTATCTGGACCATGTGTTATTCGTTATTGTGTGTCTTTAGTTGTATGTCTTTTTAATCATGATTAAATTTCTTGGTTGGTGTAGTTTAAATGTCCTATATTTTTGGTAGTTTCTGATATTCTTTTAATGTTTTAGATCATAACATCGCTAATTGTGCCTGAATAACGCTGCGACTGTTTACTACATGATCCAAAATGCGAATTAAGCGAAAAAAAATCGTTCGAATCTAAAGTTAAAGCAACTTATTCATCATATATACATGTCAAAGCAACTTCATTGCTAATATCAGTGTTTAATTTCAGATGGACTCAATTTTGGATGCAGTCCAAGAAATGAAAAGGCAACAGAAAACTGTATGGCAACGTCTAAATTCACTTACGTAGGTAACATAATATATCGTACGGAAATGAGTCACTTTAGTTATCAACCGTGTTTATGTTTTAAAAGTAAACATGCTGCGATATAATATATTTATAAATTTAAAATCATTACAAAATTTGTACATCTCATTATAAACACAACAAGTGCCACTGCTGCAGCGGGAATGGCTAATCTTTCAGAGCACATGTCTTCATCAAAGTATTTGGTGATATTGTGATCTTCAGATTTTAGTTGTCTTTGTCATGTTTTGTGGGCAGTTGTTCTTCTTTCATTTTTTTTTTCATTTGACCATTGAGATGTCTTTGTTTTGAAAATATGTTTAATGCACCTCTTGTTCTTGTTAGAAATTTTTTAAAAAGCTACCATTCTGATTATTAAATCCCAATTCAATTTGGTGATATCAAGACTGCTGCTATGAAAACATGTACAAAACTTCGGTAGAATAATAGTTTGTCTTTTCAATATTACAGTGTGTATGACTGATAAACCGTGACATATCGAAAGAAAACCTCAATCTAGAGCTGATTTGTATGGTTATAAGTACCTTATTTTATAACGCATATCTGTATTTCTATAGCAATAAAGTGTTTAAAGTAATCTTAAGCTACAATCTGAAAACACATTTCTAAGTTAGGAAGAAGTCATTAAAGTTACTTAAAAAGAGACAACAACCCGACCAAAGAGCAGAAAACAGCCCAAGACCACTTACCATGCTTACAATGCACCATTAGCAACATGACGGGTGCCACTAGTAGATCAGAATATGCTTATAGTTCCGGAGCACTTGAGATCTTCCAGTTTTTGGTGGGGTTCATGTTAGTCTTTAGTTTTCCTTCTAGTATTTTGGTCTCGTGGTAGCGTGTTCGCTTCGAGTGCGGGAGGTCGTGGGTTCGAATCTCGGCTGGGTCAAACCAAAGACTTTAAAATTGGTATTTGCTGCTTCTCCAAGCAAGTGGCATTAAGGAGTAAGAGCAAAGACTGGTTGGCTCGGAGTCATAATAATGTGTCCGGTTGAGGTGACATGTCTTCCTGTGGACTGTTACGTTGTGAGCTAGCACGTTAAATATCCGACTAAGCATTGCGGTCTAGTACAAAGCAGGGTAAATATTCATATTACATTAACATGTTCTCGTCCTGAATATGCATATTAATTTGCCGCTGGACGTTAAGCATCCATCCATCTTCTGATCTAGTATTTTGTTAACTTGTTTGTCTTTTAGTCCTCTTTCGTTTTTTTCCATGGCGTTGTCTTTTTATCTAGAATTATGATTTTTGAATGTCCATTTATCTTCCGTCTCTTTTTTAATACACCATATGAATGTTTAATTTACATACCACTAATTTGTTGCGCTCATATTAAAACTTATTGAAAGCAAACCAATAACGAATTTTAGTAATTCTTAAAGCCCGTAATTCCAAAACTTTGTGCAAAATATTAATGTCGCTGAGGCCATCTATGACTGATATCAATTGATTTTCTCATTTATGAACAATAAATGTACAAAAAAAATATGCATGTCTGGTATTTCATTCATTACCGGGGCGATGATTATCAGGTTGATGATAGCATCGGCGTTAACCGTCCACCAACACTAGTATCGATTCATTGATGGATACTGTTTGAAGATTTGATACCTGAAATAAGTTTTCACTAAATATTCTATCGGAATCGTCAACTTCTTCCTTATGGAAATAATACGGGTTTATTTTCGTTTCAGCTTAGTTGAGAATTCCAAGCAAACGATCAGACGACTGGAAAGTAAGTAGTTATGGTTAATCATTTGTACACACATTAAATATGTGTTTGATCGAGTTTGTTTCCAATAATTTGCCTGCAAATTGACGTCATTCAATTACATGTATTCAGTATTGTGATATGTAACGCCACTTCTTATCGAATGACGTCTGTAGTCAATTCCACAGTCTGTGCATTTACAATAACGTTACACAATCACAGTCGACGTTTGCGGGATATTTTATATGTTTTATTTTGGAAAATTAAACGAGCATTGCATTTGAACATGAATATCAGTAATGTGTTTATAGAGCCGGTGGGATATAATCATTATATTTATCAGAGACAAATAATACTAGTATATGTCTCTCAGATTATAGAGGTTATAAATTGCATCATATTGTCCAGTAATTATCCTTTAAAATGAAACAGCAAACTATTTTGTCGATAAGATAAACAGTTAAAGGAATATCATTGTTTTACATTTTATGATTTTAGGAGCTACATTATCATCTTGTGAATAGGAAACATCAAACTCTATGTTATATTGAAATTGAATAGAATTTTCAACCCCGAAACATTAGAAGTTTTAGTTAAAGCAAAGCGAACTATAAGATTTATATCAAGCTTTAAGAAAATTGAAAAACTAGGGGAAAAGCTATAAAAGACCAACTATATTTAGAGAACTATTCATAAATATTTTGCGTACATGTTTAAACAACTGTTTTACAGATCTGGAAGAACATGTACAAAACTTAGAGACACAGTGCGATAACAATTCTACCAAACTGACCGATATTAATCTACTAGTTCATTCTTTGTTAGAAGTAGTAAACAAATTTGTTGTTGCGGTAGAAAATCTTCAAGACAACAGAACTTCAGAAAAGACGAAAAATCTATTAGATACAACAGATAAAAGAAATAATAAAAATAGAAATCATTCTACAACTACTTGTTTGACAAATATCAGTGTACCTGTAAGAAAAGATTCGGACGAGACTGAAAATAGTAGAAATGCCAAATTTGATCAGCCTATTTATAATATGAATTCAGAACACACAATTAAACCCGACATATGTAAGACAATGTGTCCATACAAAACAGATTTATCAATAGACGTTTACAACGTGTCAATTTGTAATGATTTTTCGAGAAGAACGCATAAAGATGACAGTAAGTATATTACTGATGCTGAAGAACATCGATGCACATGTGATGATAATGGTCAATTTGCATGTAAAGAAGAAGACAATGTGCCAAACAAAGACAGAAGTATCCATACAACTCACACCGTACAGCTTTCAAAAAACAGCATGAATTGTACTAAGCCGAATAAAAGGTGCACCATCAATAAATTTGGATATAAATGCAAAAGTTGGAATATACAAAATGATAATCGTATGAGCTTTCATGGTACTTCGCCAAGATTTGAAGGTAATGACTTTCCATCTTCTACTTTTCAAGTTCCAGTAGAATGCTCACCAGTACCTAATATTAAGCAAACTGAGAATTTTTCTCTCGAAACAAAACGCAGATTCATGTCACTGAAAAGGTATGTCACATAATTACATGTTAGATATTATGTACATTAAATCACTTTGTAGCTCTGCTTTTCAACATTTGCTACCTTTAACAAAGGGGTTCGTAGAAATTGCAAGAAATCTCAACTATTTTATGTTCAAGATGCGTATCATTTTCCGAGCACCACTTACAATACAACAAGATAACCAATTAGAATCCATGAAAATTAATTCCACATTGAGGTAATCCCAGTACTACTGTAATATTTATTTCACATTGGAACAACACTTACCCGTTGTGAAATAAAAAAAACCCAGGCGAAAAAAACATATTCTTAAAAATGCAATAAAAGCCATGGAATTTCATTTCAATGATATTTAAAAGAGGTCCATAAAATACAACATTTTAGATGAATACTATAAATATACTGATATCTGTCTAAAGAGAGAACTTTTGATCAACGAAAGATGTATATACAAACCAAAGGAAACACTATAAAAAAACAAGTGCTGTACTAGATTTGCAAGTATCAAATATATAACGGAAGAAGTTCAAATATAAATAATGTAACATTTGTTTCCGTGTGCATTTGAATCCTACATAGATATATTTTGAAGTAGATACTAAAGTGTTGAAACTAAACTGTCTAAAAAAAACAAATATAAGTAATTAACCTTTTTACAATAATGATGTAGATATCATAAATTGGTCACAACGTGTACTGAATTGTATTGTCAATATAGAGATTTGTTGTGGAAGAGTGATTCCAATTGCAGACAGAAATATAATAAAAAGTTTGATTTCGCATCCATATTCTAACAGTAATATTGTCTATAAAGTTAACAAATATTTCTCTTTGGCTTAATAAACATATTGCAAAAGGTTATAACTTTACGCCTTTTGTTCTAATATTTTTTCTCGTATTGTCATACAAATAGAATTGAAAATGTATTAGAAAATATGTATACATTAAGGTTTTGTAGCGATTCAACTGTAAAAGACTGTGAAGATGAATGTGAATTGATTAATTTACCACAAATGAGTACTAGATGTACAAAAAATGACTTTGGATACAAAACCACAAGATCAGATATTCAATATGATAACCGTGTGAGCTTTCATGGTAGTTTAGCATGTTTTGAAGGATGTATAATTTCATCTTCAACAATTGAAGTTCCAGAAGAATATTCACCAGTACCCAATATAGAGCAACCTTTCATTCATCATACCAAACCAAATGTTGTACCGTCAGAAAGGTATGTAATAAACTATATATATAACAGGTTAGATATTGTACAATTGAAGCTTCTGTATTTATCTGTACTGAATTATACATATGTTTAACAACTATGGTAGCCTTATAACGAAGTATAGACTATTTTTGTAATTATTTTTTTCTGTAGAAATGACTGATTGGTGTTCCCTTACACCGCATAACCGCAAACGATTTATCGCTACAAATGCCTATCTATATACTTGGACATATTGGAGGTAGTTTTAGTTATTTGCAATTTGTACATTTCCCTTTGATCTTACTGCCTAATAATTTCAAGATCATGGACAGGACTTGATACTCGAAAATATTAGGCAATGACGGCATGCATCAGTGCAGCAAGGTCACGTGATCATGTCCGACCGCTTCAATTTATCAATGAAATGCACGCGACTTCATTCATACAACCGAACAACTATCCCAACGTTTTGTACGCTTAAAAGTAGTTTTACTTATAATTTCATTTTACTTCATATTCTCAACCAAAAGAAATAGCCGATAAACAGTCGGAAAGCTGACCCCGGTTTGACCCCATTTCTAAAGACAACAATGAAAGTCATGTGACTACCATATCTGGTCATTTTTTTTTTTTGTCATTTTTTCTTCAACTAAAACGATATCAAATGAAATCAAAGCATGCTGTACGTTATAAATGCCAACTGCGTATACTTTCTAGAGGTTCTAACAATTCTAATGTGTATAGTGTGAACATGAAACAAACCGGGATGCGGTATTCAGTACGTAGGTGAAACTGGACGATATTTATCTAAACGCACTCAAGAACATCTGTATCGTTTTAAAAGACCCAATAAATTCAAAAGTATCATTTATCAACACCTTAAGAAGCACAATCATCCTATTAAATATTTAGCAGTTCAAGCTGGTGAATCTCATTCAAAGTTTGTACGATCACGGAAAATAATTGAATTAAATTGGATTAAAAAATTACAGACAGTCTACCCTCTTGGTCTTAATGATAATATCATGGGAATTGGTAATATATCAAGAACCGATTCTGTTAACATTTTGGATATAGTTTCTAAAACTGTTCGTAAAAACCGTTCTCATGGTCGTAGAAAAAAATCGCAATCAAAGAAAATTTCGGACCAATCATACCAATATTTCGGACCTAATTTCTATTTCAAAAAACAACGGCAGACATTATCTGTTAAACAAAGCTCTGTTCATTACCGGTTAATAAGTTAAATAAAATTTTAGAGGATTGCAACACAATTTCATATAGCAGTCCTAAGTATGAAATCGTTCAAATTATAATGGCATATTGTTATTCTAAACTGTTTCCCAAAATTGATCGCCCTGAAGATCATAAAAAACAGTTTATTAAAATAAAGTATGTTAATAAAGGTTTTGATTTTGTAAATATTGCCGGTATTTTTAACGACCATTCTGTTAAAGAAAAAATTCCGGGATATTTTGATAATACTGAGCTCCCTCTTATTTGTTATATTTACAAGAAATCTACCCGGAAATTTGTGTTTAATTATAGTCAATTGTGTAAAGATGTTAATATCAGTGAAAATACACCTACTTCATGTAATTGCAGTAATTCCGAATACATTTATGGACCCATTTCCCATGTTATAACAGGAGATCTTAACATCGTTCAAGACCGAGAGTTAAAATCATTCCTCAGTAAAGGACCTAAATATCGTCCCCCGTCAATTATTAATTGGAATGAGTGTCGTAATATCATCCACGACTCACTCCATACTTACTGTTTGAAATGGATAAAACGGGAAAAAGCTGACAAAAAATCTTTGGACTCTTTTTTTTAATTCAGTAATGAACATAGTTGATATACGTATTCAACATTTTAAAGAACATTTTACTCTTAACAATAACCACAATAAACCTATTTCTCGTATCAAACATAAACTAAAAGAACTAGCCAAGGAATTTGTTTTTGTCCCGGCCGATAAAGCTGCTAATAATATTATTATTGTTTGACGTAAATTTTACATTGAGGTTCTGAAAAAAGAAATCACCAATTCACCAACATTCCAACTGACTCCATTTTCAGAAAACGACATCTGTAACAAACATAAACTTTTAGCTACCGCTTTACAAGCAGAACCAAATACAATGAAAGTCCCAACTATGTATTGGCTTCCGAAGCTACACAAAACACCTTACAAATATAGATTTATTTCGTCTTCAAGCCATTGTTCCACTACTTAATTGTCTATTCTTCTTACCAGTACACTTGGTACAAACAAAAACCTGATAATAAATTGTTCAAATAAGGCCTTTGAAAATAGTGGAATTAATTACTTTTGGAGTGTCAAGAACTCGTTGGAAGTACTTGATAAATTACATGCATATATTGGTGATTTTGAATCTGTTCAAAGTTTTGATTTTTCTACCCTATATACCACATTGCCTCACATTCTCATTAAGAAAAAATTCACACACCTAATTAAATGGGCATTTAAAAAGTCAGAATGTGAATATATATGTTCAAACTCTTTTAGGTCATTTTTAGTAGCAATAAACAAAAAAACTATGTCAATTGGACATGCTTTGATACTATATATGCCTTGAATTTTTACTAGATAACATTTTAGTTTGCTTTGGAGATTCCGTATATCGTCAGGTTATCGGAATTCCAATGGGGACTAACTGTGCACCACTTATTGCGGACCTTTTTTTGTATTGCTATGAGTTACAATTTATGACAAAAATCAGCAAAGACCCATCGAAACAACATCTGATACACAAATTTAATAATACTTTTAGATATTTGGATGATATTTTGGCTCTCAATAATGACGACTTCAGTATGTATACTAAAGAAATTTATCCTGTTGAACTTACTTTAAATAAAGCTAATACTAACAATGACCACTGCCCTTTCCTCGATCTTGATATCTATATCATTAATGGAAAGCTTAATACTAAAATATATGATAAAAGAGATGATTTTTCATTTCCTATCGTTAATTATCCATTTTTAGATGGTGACGTTCCCTTGTCACCATCTTACGGTGTTTATATATCTCAACTTGTACGATTCGCTCGTGTATGTAACAATGTTTTAGATTTTAACGAGAGAAATTTATGTATTACTGAAAAATTATTACATCAGGGTTTTCGATATCACAAACTAGTCAAAACATTTACTAAATTTTATCATCGGTATAAGGACATCATTCGTAAATATAGCTCAACATGCAGACTTCTTATACGTTCAGGTATTTCACATCCAATTTTTTATGGAAATATTCTTTATAAAGCACAAAAATGTCAGTATTCACCTCTGAAGCTAACAAAACCTTTAAATAGACTTATTAAGAAGGGATATAGTTACGATACTGTTGTCAGGTCATTAAAGATTGCATATTTATTTTGGCGTTAATATTGATTCACTTATAGGGTCTTTGCATCGGCACTAAACACAATTATTTAAAAACCAGTTGTTGGCATGACACGGGTTATGTTCTTCTCATATATGTTATGATGGTATGATACTAAACCCCTAACGGGAAGGATTGTGCCTGATATTCATATGATGAAGACATAATCTTTCAATCAGTTTAATTGAAGTCTGGAGCTGGCATGTCAGTTAACTGCTAGTAGTCTGTTGTTATTTATGTATTATTGTCATTTTGTTTATTTTCTTTGGTTACATCTTCTGACATCAGACTCGGACTTCTCTTGAACTGAATTTTAATGTGCGTATTGTTATGCGTTTACTTTTCTACATTGGCTAGAGGTATAGGGGGAGGGTTGAGATCTCATAAACATGTTTAACCCCGCCGCATTTTTGCGCCTGTCCCAAGTCAAGAGCCTCTAGCCTTTGTTAGTCTTGTATTATTTTTAATTTTAGTTTCTTGTGTACAATTTGGAGTTTAGTATGGCGTTCATTATCACTGAACTAGTATATATATTTGTTTAGGGGCCAGCTGAAGGACGCCTCCGGGTGCGGGAATTTCTCGCTGCATTGAAGACCTGTTGGTGACCTTCTGCTGTTGTCTGTTCTATGGTCGGGTTGTTGTCTCTTTGACACATTCCCCATTTCCATTCTCAATTTTATGAGGATGACATATTAACTGAGATACAATAATTTCAAACAGCTTATTGTTGGCAAACGTACCCGTGAATTTGTCTTTGTAATACAATAAAATTAATCTAATTATATGAATAGAGAGTTAAAATATATTAAAGGCTTCTTTCAATATATCCATTTTTGTTGCTCTGTTTGTTGCAAAGATGAATCCAGAATTTCTTCATGCGATAAACACATACCTTAAATGATCACAAAACAAGAAATGTTTTCTAAGGAACTTTAAAAAATGCATTTTTAAGTTTTTCTCTCTGCATTTATCCACCAATTCATTGATTTCTAGTTTTAGTCGACCTTGGAGTGAAACCGATTTTCTTACGGACGCCGAAAGGAATGGCAACGGTAAGTTCATAAAACATTGTCATTTTCGATGGCGTACCTTGAGCATGTTTTTAATCAAAGACTGGAAACCTATATGTTATGATATCAGTCTTTTGCAAAAACGATGATCATTTTAATGTAAAAACATTTAAACAAGTGTTTTAAATTTTACCAATATGGAACATGCGTGTCATTTTTTATTTGATGACTTTGATTTGTGACTTTAAAATTTAGCTAAATGTAACTAAAAAGAAAAAGTTGCTGAAAACAGAGAACAAAACAAAATAGTGCAACTTAGACAACATATGACCACTAAAATCACATGAATAGCAAATGCTCTAAACAGAAAAGCGTGTATCACTTTTTGTGCGACACCTTCGTGTTGTTAGGTGTAATTTACGCAAATTCTTATTATAATCAACGATCGGTATCATTATCTGAGGGCGCCCAATGAACAAATTTTGATAGAAATATCCTCGGATGGAATTCCTAAAAAACTTTTATCTCATGCACACTGGGGTATAAGTATCAGCGTGGTATTCAAAATATATTGTCAAAGACTAGCACCGACCACTTAGATAACAGTGAGACCTTACTTATCTTTAAATTTAAAGTTACTTACAGTTACGATAAGCATTGATATATATCCAATGAAAGAGATTAAAATCCGCTTTCGAATAAAAATTAAGGAAAAAGAGTCAAGTGTATTTGGTGACCATTTTTATCTTTTAATGTTCGATGATTTGGCATATGGATAGACGAGATGTAGATACGATTAATACAATGATTATTGTAAGAATTGTTATTTCACAAAAAATCGCCAATGTACATTGGCATTAATTTTCTAGCATACACCTTATAATATAGTACATTTGATAATACTTATTCTCAATCAGGCACAAACATTTCACAACGTCGTCACTTTGAAAAGAAAATAATTTAACATATCTAAATTAACTTTGAGTATTTGATCAATTCTGTTTAAAATATCTGTAAATATTTTTTTTCTTCTAGATGACACGAAACAGCCTCGGACAATAAGAGACTGGTTGGGACATCTTCAGCAGGTTCTTGAATACAGTATGTAGCGTGGTGTTTTATTCTAAATAATAAAAGACAGGAGGTATTTCAATATGAAGAGACAAAAAATATACTGTAACAATCACGTTTATAAGGCTCAAAGAGAATCAATAAAAGATAATAACGGTTTCAATTCATCGATATTAATATTATATTTATATCTGATTAATGTAAACTATTTCTGATGGTATTACAAAACAGTTTTCTTGTTTTTCAAATATGACATGAATCAGGAAATAAAAGATTTTTTATGTAGTGTCATATCCTTGACCTTCAATTTTTAGGGTATGAGCGTTCCTGATTAAGGTAAATCCGAAGTGGAACACGAAGGTTTCATCAGATCATTATTCAATACTTCGGTATTGAACTGAATTATAATTTTTTTTTGCAATTACAGTCTCCGTTGATTAATTGATAATTTATTTTAAAAAACAAGGTTCCAACTCCCTCAGGCAAAGTTGAACTTAGATGGATTTGGTCATTCTTTTAAGCCCCTTTTGATTATCAAATGATTATATAGCGTTTTACGTGTTGAGGTAGTCATACATCCTTGGCATTAATTTTTGTGGTATGAAAATCCTGATGAAGGTAAATCCAGGAAAGTGCTTCATATGCAAACAAATTTTCAAGTGTTATTTTCATTATTCATTTATGTATGAAAAAATTTCAGAACCACTTATACAAATATAGGCATTCGATGTACAAACAGAGAAAGATAGAGAGAATTGACTGTGATTAATGTTATATAAAAAACTTGACTTATATATATTATTGTAACTGGAAAATTAGCTTTATAAATTTTCTGATTAGATTCTGAATTGTAGTAAAAGGGCTAATGCTGTTTTGATTCTAGGTAGATGCAGACAAATTGCAGGTAAAAGAAGACAAGGAAGAGGGCGCCACATTACACTGGTTTTAGACATTTCTGAACGGATGAAAGGACGAAAATTTGAAGCCATGAAAACGGCTGCTGTTCAGTATATTGAAGGCAAGTTTCATAATTTGATATGTATACAGAAAGAAGAAAAATTATTATCTTCTGGTATTTTTGTTTTAATGATGCAAATAAAAAATATCAAGAAAATCCCTTTATGACAAAGATACATGTATATATAGTATTTCACATTAAAAGAATTATCTATCTCTTTGTTTTATAGGCACTAAGCAACATGCAATTGTTGGATTAGGTGATAATATCGGTCTTGCTGTTTTTGGTGGACAGAGTCAACTCATTCAAGAGACAACTAATGATTACAGTTTGATATTGGAACAAATAGGTGAAGCAGTAAAGAACGAACATAAATTAGAATCATATGATTTAGTTAATGCAAACGTTGTACATACATTTGGTGCTAGCTATATCTTTAACACAACAGAAATTATTAACATGAGGTTACATTCAAACTATATCGTCCTGAACATGCATGAACTATTTGCCACTGGACGTTAAGCAAACATCAATAAATTACTCATTCAAACTATAATATACAATTGAATAAATTAATTATGTAACGTGCAATTTTATATACACTGTCAATGTATATCTACCTATTCCGTCACTTTACCTATTTAATGGTTGGAGACAAAATTTATATTCTAGTTGTGCAAAATATTTAATGATTAAAAAGTAAAATAACAAAAATACCGAAGGCGATCAGGAACATTGACAAGCGCTGAGAAAGTTTGAAATGTCTAAAGGCATCTATAGGTAACAGGTACCTGTAAATTATAGCCCAAAACCATCGAATGTTGAATTTGCTAGAGGGAGTTGCATCCATAGTTTTTAGAATAAACTTAATTGGAAAGCTGAGAATTAATCAAAACAGTTGATATTAATCGTGGTTAATATATGAAACATTGTGTTTTGTAACGTGTTATCAACAAACGCGTTTGAAAACATTTATGGAATATATCAATTATTAATTACTACATGTACACTCAAAATATAATGTTTATTAACCTTAACTACTTTTTATAAAGCTCAACTACAACCACAAGGAAATGCACCCATTCTTGGAGGATTGATAATGGGACTAGCTGGAGTTCTATCAGGTATTTAAATTGACATTTTATAAATAAGTTATAAAAACTAACATAAAATACGAAATACATACACAATTATATTTTTAGACAGATGTCTTTACAATATTTCAAGCTTTAAATCATTGAGAGCTAACAAAATATCAATGAACTTTAAAAGCCGATGCTATCCTAGATCTGCCATCAACACCTTTATCTCCAAATAACATTATATGACATCTGATAACCACTGCCAAGAAACATGACATGGGACAGTCAAATGAAAAACATATACAGTGGGTTAATCTAGTTTTTGATATATCAACCCTACTTGTTTTCCAATCTCTATCAGTGGACCGACAATATGTATAGGCATAGGACAATTGAGCGAAAATAAAAAAAATGCCCATTGGGTCATTTGAGCGCCGACATCATAGGACATTTTAGCGCCGGAATTTTAACCATATCTGGATTTTCAAATAGGACGTTTGAGCGTTATTTCCTGTGATACTTATATATGAATTAAGAAAATATTTTTAAAAAAATTAAAAAAAAAAAAGAGTAAGTTTTTAAAATGAATATATTTTATTTGATTTTACACCCGAGTCATTCGACCGGTTCTGGCTAGTTAATGGTATTGTAGTCCTGGGTTGATCTGTACTTACCAATCAATTCTACTATACTTCATTGGCTATGCAAATTTTCTTAGTTCTAACTTTCTTATATTTATAAAGTTAAATGTCCCTTGGCACTTTAGATCTGAATACTGATACATATACATGTTAAAATGAATATAATTTTGACCAAGACTAATAAAGGAAAAACAGCCCTGTTTGTGACAGTTTCCGATATAGAGTGAAGCGGATGATGATATAGTTCAACGTCCTTCGAAAATTATCCGTACCGAGTTACAGAACATGGATTAGACAAACCTAAAATCTGAAGATATTAGCAGCGTTTCAAAGGCTATATATAGAAAAAGACGTAAATCTCACCCTGCACTTCCAAAATCTAGAGAGGAAACGCACGAATCGTATCGTTAATGAAGATGAATATTGAGACAAATACATTTGAAAATTTTGTACAGGTTAATGATGAACAAACGAACTCCTTCATCATTTTAATTTTTTTTCGCTCAAATGTCCTTAAATATCGGCGCTCAAATGTCCTATACTTCGGCGCTCAAATGTCCTTTTTTTGTCGCTCAAATGTCCTGCCAATTCGCTCAAACGACCATTGCCAAATGAACAAACAGAAAATTCAGTACAGGAAATTTCAAGCATTTCACTAACAAATAATCATGGTATTATAGATAATTCTAACATGACGTTCTTCATACGCTTTGAGTACACACCCGTGGTAAAATATGAATATATTTTTTGGGCTGTTCCGATCGTACTCCCACGTCATATGCTTTTTTATGAATGAGCTACCCGACGTCATACAACGATGACTTAAGAATATGAGGATTTTACGGGAAAATACACGCTTGTGAAACCGAAAATCATCACAACAAGGAAACATAAACAAACGATGCTAAAATGTGTTATAATCCAATTTTTTTATACATATTAGAAATATATTCTTATTTAAATTCATCCAAACCTATTTAAATACATTATTGTAAATAGTTTAAGCATGTCACTTATTCAGTTTGCTCCGTTCTTTTGCGTCAATTGAATTGTGAGTTTGTTTATGGGAACGGCAAATATTTGCCTTCACCTAGAGCGCTTCGATCCAAAAGAATTGCCGTATTTGTCCTATTAGAATCGAAATAATTCATGGGGGCTTGAATATATCGTGATTTTACCACGGGTTGTCCCTTTATGCCGATATTTTACCTCTCGCTATCGCTCAGGGTAAAATATTTAGCATAAAGTGGCAACCCGTGGTAAAATCACGATATCAAGCTCCCATGAATTATTTCTTAAATATAGACAATAACATGCACATAGTTATAAGATCTAATCAAACGTATACAGTATCAAAGTATGTTTGCAATTACTAAACGCAAGATAATGAACATAACCTGCCGATATGAAATCTATGTATGTTATTTTATCCCTTTTTTTATAAAGTGTTATTTCATCTATATAATTCTATATAGTTCTTATTTTTGTTTACCTCGACTTTCGTACCATATCTTTAGTTTATCAATGATATGATAATGTTATATTGTGTAAAGCGTTTAAAGTAAATTGTCATAACGCGTATTATACATGTTTTATAATTAATAATGATATTATTATTAATTATGATAATAAAATGAGTTCTTCCGTCGATAAAGATGAGTTCAGGCAAAAAAAGTTACTAATTATCGGACTGACAAATAAAACAAAACAGCAATGTGTACTGATACCTGCCATGTTTTTTTTATATTACAGGGCTGCTGTACATTGATATTGATAAGTTTGATATTTAGAATAATAATGAACTTTCTCCGTTTCCTTCATAACAGGTCCACTGGATCGAATAGGGGATAATCCATTGCAGGGACATATGATAATTTTCACGGATGGAACCTCTGGGCGTGTTTTTCCAGATTTTGATACAGATGTTGGTATGAGCCGTCCCTTTGTATTTGGAAATTTCCGTGTAAGCGTTATATTATAGTGATATAAGTTAAAGTGTATTACTCCCATATAAACAGATGTCGCAGATTTTTGGACCACTCTTATTTCAATTTCACAAATTCATCAGCAACATGATTTGATTGTCAGCGCTACATCTTTTCCGTTTCTCAAATACAGTTTCAGTTCTTTAATTTTTTAAAGGAAAGCTCAAACCTTAAGATTATATTTAAATGCCCTATAACTATATTATTATGGTAAATATATACGTAGATTAGAAATTTATTAGAAAATGCAAGGAACGCAAATGAGTAGATGTTTATATTTTCTGACTACAAAACAAGTTTAAATGTTTTACCAAATAAGCTAAGTTCAAAGTACGTTGTTTGATAGCCAAAAATACGTAGATATTGAAAGCAGGAATATCAGTTTATAATTTAAACAAGTCTAAATTGAAAACAACGTTCAAATCTATGATTGCGTTGGATAAAAACCGCAATTTTTATACGTGTGCATGCAAAACAAATGTCTTGTTAGAGGGGTCTAAATACAGCACAAACAACATTTTCCAAAAGACCAAAAAAGTGAAAAAGTATATTTTTACAACACGCATTTGACTAACAGGTCGAACAACAAATGTTCTTAAACTCTGCTGACTGCCATTGGCGATTACCAAATAAACGGATCACCGATGTAATAAATGGATCTTAATTATAAATTTAATACTAAACAGAAAACAATAAACTTGCGGAAAAGATGGTATACCACAAACAAAAGGTGCAAAGATTTTTGTACACCATATCCGGATTTCGACAATTAATGTCTCTTCAGTGATGTTAGGAATCGAAACGGTATTTGGAAAGTTTATAATTTAATATATATTTGGCTATTCAAACGTTTGGTTTGTCGGAAATATCTTATATGAACAAATATATTGTTAGGAAGGGACAATTTAATTAAAACATATTCATGTTGTTTATTACATGTATCCTTGGAATATATGTTTAAAGCAGGCAGTTGACACTTCTATATGAATCAACTATGCATTTGCCTTCTCGTCCACTTGTTTCTTATTCGGTTAACTTCATACAGGGTCTTCTGAACAAGAATGTAATGAAGGTATAGTTTTCCATAAACTTCACTTTCCGCTGTATACATTATGATCTTTCACTGAATAATTCAAAGTGTGATGACTTGTTTGTTGATTACATCTTTCCAATTTAACATAGAATATATGTACCATAGATACATGCACAACTAAGTCTAGATCTGCTTCATACCTTTATTTACTCCTAGAAGTATTATGTATGAGGACTGGGTTGTTTGAGACAACTGATGGATATATCATTGTTCTTCTTTCTAACATTACTTGTATGCAGTTTCCTTAGTTAAGTATGTATCGGTTTTCTAATCAGTCATTAATTTCTTTGAAATGTATCGTATTTTAGGGCCGTCCAGAGACTCATAGCGTCCTAGAGATGATAGGTAGCACCCAAACAAAAATATATTATGTTCCAGTTGGAGATGACATCAATAATCCTGTAAGTATTTCCATGAGTTGAATTTTGTTAGCATGATATTTGAATATCCAAGAAACTCTGATCGTTATAATCTTCAATGTGTTTGGAATGTGTTCCTTGCAACACATCATCTAGTCCAAAAGTATTTGTCTAAAGGTCTGGGGTTTCTTTTCACACAAAAAAATCTAAGAATCACTTTATCGTGAGTCACTTTAAAATGTTCATATCTTACGAATATTTTCTGCTGGTTTTTTTTATTTTTTTGTAATGAGACACATTAATTTAAATTTGTGCCTAGAAAAACATTTATCGTATTTTGTTCTCGATTATTTAATGATATTGCATTTAATATTTTTTCAAAAGAAACCGTTTGATGTGTTTATATAAATCATGTTTAAAAAAAAATCCTATAAACTTCGTTTCCAAAAAAAAACTTTATTATATTATGGAAGCTATAAAGGGACACATAAAAATATAAATATCAAATCCTACATGGCCACTACCAGCAATTCATGAATCTGTCAGAATAAAGCTACACGCCCTCCTCAGGCCATTCAAATTTATGAACTGCTCGTGGCGCCATCTAGGATTCTGAAGTTTGATCGGAACAAATTAGAACTAGAATACGTTAATCTGGTGAACAATGATAACCCCTCCAAATTGCTTTCTTCAAGCGACATACATTTGGAATTGTTTAAGTACTTGTACAAATCACAATAATTGAAACGGGATGCGTACCTATATTCCGACAGTCAACTATTCCGACACCCCAATGGTCCAATAGTCCGTTGCTCCGATATCCCATAAAATGACCCCTTCAACAACCTTTCCTACAAAATGACTGACTACAGGTAAAATTCTTTTTCACTTTCTTTCACTTTCCCCTTTGTACTTTGTCTGGACGTGCGCGAGTATATACATTTGGATAAAAGTTAATTAAAAGTAATGGTAAAAGCGGGTCTTTTCAACACCTAATATCTCAGACCTACGACAAATCTGTTGAACACCCATGATAGCACTCGCGAAAAAGGAATCAGTGGAATAAAATTCAAGTAAAATTGAATAAAAAATGTATATAAAGTTAAAAGTTTTAAAAAAAAATCGATGCCCTGAATTTTTGTACGCATCAAAATGAATATTTTTTTTTGAAAGTACGATTTCGGGCATTGTTCCTTTGTGTTCCTATATACCTCGGAACCATTTAGAACAAGGATAAATCCATTAAAAAAAAACTCATCAAAGTAGGATGACAAATGAACTCTTTACATCAAAAATACAAGAAGTTTGGACACTGAGAAATGTCTCGCTTGATCTCTTGTCATGTTTAAATACTAATATATCGCCAGTTTTAAACTCTAGCTAGGTCAAACAAACCTTGAAATTTGTCATTTCGGGGCCTTTTATAGCTGACTATGCGGTATGGGTTTCACTCATTGTTGAAGGCCGTACGGTGACCTATAGTTGTTAATTTTTGTGTCATTTTGTCTCTTGTGGAGAGTTGTCTCATTGGCAATCATACCACAACTTCTTATTTTAATCTTGACTATGTTTGAATGATTGATTTGTCTTAATTATATCATTGCTTATTACGTTTATAATGTCCGTTTAATATTTTAGACTTTAGAAGAAGCAGTTAGGCAGACACATGGTAAAGTTATACAAACCAGTGAAATGCATCGTTTAATCAGAATGACTCAAGTAATGGTAAGTAAAAATTAAAAGTAGGTAAATCATTTTATTCATCTTCAAACAAACACGGCATGTATTGATAAATATGACAAATTTTTAACCTCACTGAAGAACATTTAAATTGTCCACATGTTAATAACTTATTCAAGATGTCATTAATTTCCGATGTGACTTTTTACTGTTGGCTTGGGATTTCTAACGGGGATACTTTCAATAAATCGTTCATTTAGAGCATCTGCAAATTGTTCAATATTCAGTGTTCGTATATTTCCTTGTTTGTACTTTTTTGCCCTTTCTAGCTGGTTTTCAATTTGTATTATTTCGTTGTGTTATATTTGACCTACAACAAATAATGACGACTATTTGATATCTAGAATAACGTAAGCTAAAAATCTTCCTGACCCCTTTCCCAAAATGAAATTCTCGTCCCCAAATATAATAGATAGGTAAGAGAAATCCAAAAGTTATTCATATAATTTTTATTTATTCAGGCTGTGGCATCACATATTGCTTCAGAAATAAGAAATTTTCCAAGTAAACAGACAAGGGATGTCATTAAAAGGAAAATCAGAGAGGCATCAAGTCAGGACGATCCACATGTAAGAAGTTCATTTTAGGAAATCAATACCCTGGCACATGGTCATATGCGTGACCCAAGTTAGGAATTACTTCGGTGGTTATTCTTTGTTTGCACCATTTTCCTTGTTATTCAAGGATGTGTAATATTTAGTCTTTGTTCAATTTATTTACAGTTTTTAAGACAAGGCGAATTTAAAACTGGACGTATCGTATAGAAGAATATACATTGATTTCTAAGGGAGCAACCATTTAACTTCAAGGGTGGGGTTATGGGTTTTTTTGTCTGATTCAGAAATTTTTTTCGCGCTATCAATCAAATTATTTTTTTTCAAAATTCAACACTATAATATTTTTTTACATCAAATTGGGGATCAGAATATTTTTGGTGGAAAAAACCATAAGCCCGACCTCCCCGTAAGTCGTCATTTGAGATAACCTGGGCACGCCCAAGCTGATCTCAAAAACCTTACCATCACTATCATAGACCACAACGAGGGTTGGTCAAGGGCAAACAGACTTGCTCGGGAAAGTTTTTGGATAAGAAAGTTAAGGACAGTTTCCTCAGAGGGCATTAATGAAAAAAACATAAAATGAGTCCCTACCATCACTTGTTTCCTGTATATAACTCAGGCTTCAGTACAGGACTCTCACAGTTTTAAGGAATGTATTCCTCCTCCCAAAAATCAATATTGAAAAAATTTACCAGAGTACTGATTCGTGATAATTTGTATGATGTTCAAGATTATTATTTCAGTTCGACTACCACATGTCAAGATAAGAATCATTTGACATCTTACTGATGAAGGATATTAGTTATCCGAAATATTAAATATTTGTTCATGATTTTTTTTTTGGTAATGTTGTACCCTTTTAGACTTGTTTGTTATATATTATATTTTGTAGTGTACTGCATCATATTTATATGATCCATCGCCTCGTAAGATTTATCGTTGGCTATTATTCAGACATTTGATATAAAAATATAAATATATATGAAACTAAGGTCATCACTATAAGAGTGTTACGGCCAGACAAATTGGTCGAGCATTATTATTATTTAATATGTATCAAATAAATAGATAGATATTGACATATTTATCCAAATAACTCGCCTTTTTAACAACTTGATTGAATTTCGATTTTCACTACTGGCAATTCGATTGGTGTCGCAGATAAATATTACCCTTTCAGAGCACGCGATATCACTTCCACTTGTGGTTAGACTTTAATGTTTACAGTTTGTATATTATCTTCTTTCCCTCATTGTTTGTGTATGAGATGGGAGTATGCGTTCTAATCGTAAGCCAATGCAAACACATATGGGAAAACACAAAACGGAACAGAAAAGCGCTTAAGTAAGGAGTTTGAAAGTTAATTCGTTGTTCCAATCAAGATTATTTTAAGAGATGTTCATTATAAGTAGCCAGTATTAAGGGACATTGTTTTCAGACAGAACTTTGATATTTTTTATATCCCAATTGCATAATTATCCGCAACTCATGGAAAGGTATGCGTCCAAATCCCTGCAATGCTATGCGAGTACTTTCATATCTGTACTAAGTTTCTTTAGTGTTTTTTGTTAGTTATTTTGTGCTTTGTATTGATCTGATGAGTTAAGTCCTTTTCAACAGATTTTTATAGTTTCTGCTTATGTTGTGCTGTTACACCACTGTCCTAGGTTAGGGGAGGGTTGGTTTGGTGCCCGTAAACATGTTAATGCCATATCTGCATGTGCCTGTCCCAAGTCATGAGTTTGTTTGTTGTTTTTTTTTTCACTTGGCCTCTGGTTTTGTAGTTTGAATTGTTTTACATTTGTCATTTCGGAACCGTATAGAGCTTGCTATGAGGTAGGGGTGTTGCTCATTGTTGAAGGCCGTATGGTGACTAACTTTTACGACATTTGGTATCTATTGGAGAGTTGTTTAATTGGCAATCATACCACTTTTTTTTTATATAGTTTAATGTATCGTTCTACTATATAAAATTGAGTACATGCCAAAAGGAGGGGGTAAGTAGCAGCAGGACAGATAAATCTCAAGATAAAAACAAAAAAACAAACAACAGCGGAGAAACTATTTTTGATTGATAAATACCATACAATATATAAAAATGGACTTCCCCTTTTTTTATTATACTGTTTTCCAAATACACAAGAACATACAAAAACAAATTAATAAATGTTAGATTCTTTAAAAAAAATATCAACAATTGTATATGATTTCAAAAGAAAAAGCAAAGATGCGATAAAAGTACTGAAATGCTTCTAGAGAGGATACATTGGAAAAAAAGAGAATACTATTCTTAATCTTGACAGTCACTGGAATGTCTCTAATGAACAACTAGATAGCCCATACAACTATGCCTTTAGCGTTGATATAGTGATTCTGTATGATATTTATAATTATGAATGCTTTTGTTATTGAAGGAAAATATAAAGGTGTAAAACATCAATTGTAAATATAACTGGTATGATTAAAAATTGTTTAGACACTTTATTTTTCCTTTATAGGATGACTGTTTAGATATGGTTATGGATTTTATTAATCCTCTAAGTCATGAAAACGAAAAAGGAATGTTTTTGGAACTGAACCTAAGTACCTTGCAACTTGGCGATAGGGTTCGTCGGGGACCTGATTGGTCGTTTGGTGATCAAGATCGTAATCTTCCTGGAACAGTCGTCGGTCTTAACGGAGGTGGTATGTATAGTTTTTTCGATATTGTTTTTATTTTTTCTGAATATGGTGCGGTTGAATTCTTTCATATAGCAAACATGCAAACACAAGTGTAAACAAATTTATACTGTAAGTTCTATTCACTTTTAGTTTTTTTAAAGGAGAGACAAAGTGGCAGTCAGTAAATGCTTTCGAATTTAGACAAATTCAAATATTTTTTATATATGATGAAGACGATATGATGATGATTCTTGAGTCAACATACCAGTTTCACAATTTAATCAAATTGTATATGCATGATGACAGCGCATAGTTTGAGAAGTGTACTTTGCTGAAACATATGTTTTAGATGTGTTTCACCTATGCTTAAATTTTCCTAGTTTTTAGATTTTTTTTTCAAATATTGCATTACCTTGGATAGGTTAAAATAATTTGTTCTTATCAATTAGTGTGCGCATTTTTCTTTAAAGGTACAATTTGGGTAGAATGGGATCATGGCGATAAAAATGTATATGCGTATGATGAACAAAGACACCATTATAAAATTATGAAAGTGAATGAACCCAGAAAACTTGTTGATGGGATTATCGCCGTTGGTTGCAGAGTTGTTAGAGGTAATTACGAAATACATGTATTTTGATATCCTTATTTCAATTAAGATTATATGTGCATATAAAAAGTTTATTATTGTCTTTTTGAACAAACTATTCAAATAAGAACTAACTTTATAGAAAACCGACATCTTCATTGTGTTTAGATGGTTATTTCTACATATAAACATATTTAGGCCAGTAAGGTAACATAACAAAATAGTTTTTTATATCTTATTAAGTAAATGTTCCAATAATATTCATGAAATCTAAAGCTATAACTGTTAATTTCACAACAATACGCTTGAGACAATATCTTATAGGACAAGATTGGAAGTTTGACGATACCGATGGTGGACCAGGTAGTATAGGAACTGTTTTAGATGTAAGAAGAGAAGGCAATGTTGTGGTGAGTAGAACCTTTACTACTACAACTAACGAATATATGAAAAAACAAATTCAAAACCTAAAATTCAACAATAAGCCAGTTTTGGCACAACTATTTGAAATCGTTTGTTTCCATTGTTCTTCAATATACAAATTAGTTTTGTTTGGTTTTAGTACCACTGATGATTCTTGGTAAAGACGAAACACGCATATGTGTTCTTAATTACAATTTTGGTATCTGTAATGAGTTTTTGAAGAGATCACATATGTTTCAACAAGTATATTGTTATTGCCTTACATAATGTATATTTGAAGACTTTTTCATTTTGTATCATTGTAGGTAAGATGGGACTGTAAACGAACATGTCTGTATAAGATGGGATGTAAAGGGCGATTTGAAATTCGTTTGCAGTAAGTATTTAAATTACACGGTTGTCATTCAAAGAGTTATATATCAATGAAATGCACACACTTTGACAAAAATGGACATTGTTTATATATAGATATATATAAACGAAATGTTACTAGGATTCTTAAATACATATTAAACATTATTTTTTATTATCTTATTACTATTTCTTTGGTTTGCATTTTTACTCGAAAGTAGTATATTTTGGGAAATACGAACTTGAATGTGTTTCGATCAATCATTTAGATAAATTTGGTTAAAACAATGCCCCAAAACTTTACTTGTACATTATTAATTTGCAAGATAATAATTTGACCTCATTAAATCCCTCTTAATTCGCCTTATTTTAAGATGATTTTGAATTTGCTATGCATGTACACACTACAAACCAGTAAAAGTCTGAAATGGCCTATATCTGTACTCGACTGTACTGATTTTTACTCGACCAGTCTGAATTGGTCTGAATTTTACTTAATACTACTCGACCCAGTCTTAACCATACTCGACTGTACTGATTTGTACTTGACCCTTATCTTTGCTATTGAAAATAGTCTAAACTATTACTCGACCAGTCTGAAACAGTCTTAACCCAGTCTGGACCAGTACTCGACCAGCTCTCGACCTATTTTTTCAGTCTGAACCATACTCGACCAAAGGTCTGAACAATACTCGACCAGTCTGAACCATACTTTACCAAATAACCTCTGCTTTATAATTTTGATTGTTTAAATAACTTTCTCTTTAACTTACATGACAACAGCCACAATTAAAAAAAGATATATATAAAAACATTTTTTACATTCTTTAATAATACATGATTCTCTTAGATTTGGCAAATCGAGATAGTTAAATTATCTAATTTTAAAGTCTGAGTCTTGTTAAATAAAAGACTTGTTTTACCTGAAAACCACACCTATACTGAGGGTAATAAAACCTTATTAAAAATAAGGTGTTTTTTGTTTGGCATGTGTTTTTTTTTTAAACAAAACTTGATTTTCCTAAATTCCTAAATAAAAACGAATGTAGGACAGAAAGTCACAGGACAAAAAGTCACAATTCAGTTTTGAGGTTATTTTTCTTTGAACAATAGAACACTTATTTTTAAAAAAACATTTTTGTATTTTTCTTGAAACAATATCAATAATGATCAAATAATTGTTAAGAAAACAAAATGTTACAATGTCTTGGTACTTAAATGGCTTCATGGTGCCAAGAAATATATCCTTTGCATGATTAAAATTTTATAAATCTTTATTTATCAAATTAAGTCTTATGAACAATTTCCTAAACTGTAAAATGAATATGTGTCATAAAAAGTAAACATTTCAGGATCTTTCTCATAAATATTCAATCAATTGTATACAAATTATTTGTGACTTTTTGTCCTATCAAATTTGTGACTTTCTGTCCTGTGACTTTCTGTACTTAGGTTTCATGGTTATATACAATAGTTATATAACTATCTTTTTAATGAGGTAACAACAGCCAACAAAATCACTGACATTGTTTAACCTTATATCAGAAATATATCTATTCCTATTCATAATTTGGGATATATATATATTTTAAAAGGGATAAAAAATTCAAGAAATGAATAAAATTTTTCTTCTGATAAGGGGTAAACTATAAAGTAATACATCCTGCTTGACGCACACTGATTAAAAAGATCACACCTGGTCAGAGAGTAATAAATTTTAAATAACATCCATTGAAAATTACAACATCCTGTAAAACTTAAATAACAAGGCCTTTGAATTCACTAGATAAGTAATACACGAGTTTAAGAAAAATATGGTTTTCTTTTTACCTGTAAAACACCTGTACTGAGGTAATTAAACCATTAAACCTTATTAAACTGCTTCTTGTATGCCATGTCTTTAATTTTGACAAAACGTATTTAAATTTAATTAAAATAAATTTCTACTGCTACTTTGGAATACATTTCCTTTTTTAAAAGGTTATCAAGGATAAAAAGATGAAAGTTTTATTATTATTATTATATTAAATTTTTGATTTTACAAAACAAAGGTGTCAATTCTAACATTTATTAAGTTGCTTTATATACTATTTTATATATATTTTGATAAAAAAAAAATTGAATAACATTTAAGATATTTGAATAATGGTTGAAAGTTATAGTATTTTTGATGCATAAATCAATGTGAACATGATATCATGTATATGAAAATTCATTTAACGAACTTAATTTATTACATGATATTTTTTTAATCCAACCAGAAATTTGATCACCTTGTTTTATTTTAATTTTAAATGTGATATACATTTTATATATATATATATATATGAATAACAGTTCCTAAATTAATGAAAAAATAATATAGATAGATACAAAAAATAGGTCTAGGTTGGTTAAGACTTGGTCGAGTATGGTTCAGACTAGGTCGAGTATGGTTCAGACTAGGTCGAGCATGGTTCAGACTTGGTCGAGAATGGTTAAGACTATGTCGAGTATGGTTCAGACTCGTATAAAATGGTTAAGTACTGGTCGAGTAAAGGTCGAGTACAAGTTCAGACTGTTTAGTATGGTTCAGACTACAGTCGAGTAATATCAAGTAAATTTCAGACCAATTCAGACTGGTCGAGTAAAAATCAGTTCAGTCGAGTACAAATATAGGCCATTTCAGACTTTTACTGGTTTGTAGTGACAGTTATTAAAAAGAATGTCAGCTACAAATAGTAAACTAGGGATTTAATCGGAAGACCGATTATATTGACTGATTTGACACGCAAAAATTCATTCTTATACAGGTTACAGATAAAACAACGATGTATATTACTTTTTATATTTGATATATAATATCAAACGTTAACATTTTCATTATTCTATTGCACGTGTTATTTTTATTTAACTAGCTTGTTTATATTTACCTACCTATGTTTATATCAGGATTTGATTTCTATCGGCTATCATCGAAGGTCATGTCGATTGATAATCAGTAGATGACGTTCAGTCCCAAAATGTAAAAAAAGAAATCATATATTGTTTATTGTAGCCTATGGAACTTATGTAATTTGGATATGCGTTTTAGTATGTTATAAATCGAATTTAATAGTTTCATAATTTGGCAGGTAATGCCCCTTTTTTAATACTGACACCAAAGGTATTTAATTTATTTCTCCCTTAACATTGCATTATCTTATATAGCATGTCCCACAAATTAAGCTTTTTGTTGATCTAATAATTGTATGTTGATATTTAACAGATGGTGAAAATAATTATATGGAAGCTTTGCTTTTATTTCAAGGTCAAACTTAATATTGACAATTTTTTTTTTCCGAGTTCACAAATTTAAACATCGGTAAAGATGTAAAGACTCGTATTGGATTATATGGAACAGCTATCTGTATTATTATATTTCAAAATACATCAACTTATATCTTATCATTATAAAGAGGTGATAACGCCCAAACTAGTCGACAAAACAGGAACCGAATGCCAAGACGTCGGCATGCAAGACGCCTATCAATGTCAGACGAGGAGGAAGAATATGTATCATCTACAAAACATGCTAGCGACTACGTCATTCCAATATATTCAGATTCAACAGGTACTCTAGTACTCTACTTTATGAATTCTTTAATTTATTTACAATTTTATATGTAATCAATAGAATATATAAGCTCAATCAATATGATGATGATTCAAAAAGAAAATGTGTTATTTTGTTTGGTTTATTTTTAGATATATTTTAACAATAATAAAAACTTGAACCAATGTTCTTTTAACACAGTAAGCGCTATTTGGGAGTATAAAGACGGTTCATATTGGAAGGAGTATCCTGATGATATAAATGTAAAAATAGAAAGGGCTTACCAGAGAAAACAAAGGAAAACCATTATCGAAATGGATCGTACTACGTAAGTAAATATAACGTTATATTTCAAGCTGTTGCTAGCATGGTTTAGTGAAAAATATGTTTATACATCAGGTACGTTGTAATGTCATAACTTTAGCCAGGATTAATTCACTATTAAGAATGTTCGCTACTCTGTTTCAAAATGACAAGCTTTTCAAAAGACTGTTATAAAATGATAGTATATAAATAAAGGAACTAAAAAAGCAGAAAAAAATGAAGGGTCCGTATGCTTGTTTTTGAGATATAAGCCATTGAACATTTGGCGGGAAATGGTACGTTCTCTCTAGATTTTTCATACTATAACATTGTCCACTTTTCTCTTATAAAAACTATGAAAATATAAAAGGATTTTATAAAATTTTTCAAATATGGCTTTTAAAACTATATGAAATAAAATTATGGAAAGAAAAGTAGGGGTCAGTGGACAAAATTTTTGCAATAATTAAAACACGATGCAATAATATATTCTGGATTGTTTTCCTTATTTGGATATTCCAATGACCCTCATTACAGGTTTGAAGTACATTTTTCTGAAATGGAACAGGAAAACCCCAAAAACAAGACAAAAGTAACAGTAAGAAGAAGAGGTCAGTTTGAAATTACAAGTTATACCATAATGGTAAACGATTAATGGTTTAATTTTAATGAGGCAAGAAAATAACTTTTTTCCATGAGATATTTTATTTATTAACTTTATATTCTAATTGAAAGTAATGAAGATGATTATTCATTTGTATGATCAGTCCATTTAATATTTTCACATAAAAATATCACAATAAATCTACAAATAATCAAAGAATAAACCATAAAATATCTGAATTAATACTATGTTTATTTCAGACTGATGATAGCTGATGGAAAACTTTCAGTGTTAGCACTAGTCTTTTGGATGAAGACAACCTAGAGGCAGTTAATCTATGAACCTGAATGTTTATCGTGTCTGTTCTCGTCCATGCGTCTGTTTTTTGGGCAAACAAAATATACTAACATGAAGATCACCTCCCTCAATTCAATAATATCAGCACAGAAGGAAAATGTTGTTCGTTCGATCCTACTGTGTCAGCTTGTGCTGTTTATTGTGTATCTTCCCTTTCTTTCAATTATCTATTTGGCTTTTAATACTTGTTATTATGACATCTTTTTGTAGACCATTAACTACCAGTACTTTGTTGCGTGATCTGGATCCCTATATAAAACAATAAAAAATGTCAAACTGTTTTGCTTATGTTCATAAGATCTACTAAATACTATTCACTGTCATCAAATGGTTCAGCTTAGTAAATTGTGCAGTTCAAATCGAAATAACATTTAAAAGTTATCATTTGTTTCGCAAAACAGCGTGTATGTCTCGCTTGTATTCCCAAATTTGAAGTTTTTTCGTTTATATTTTCTATGTCCTAGGAAAGCCTAGGTTCGCACTCAAGACAGATCGTCATTTGTTGTGGGTTTATTTTCTTGTAATCCAGGGGGGAAATACAGCAAATCGATCTTTTTAGATTGTTAACCTAGTGTCAGCATTTTTCTGTCAGCAATGTTATAAGAGGTAGGGTTAATGTCCCCTAAATTTATTTCACACTGACAATGGCTCCTTTCGAAAATTATCATTCATTATTGAGAGTATCACAGCTTCATGTGTATATACTTTGAAAATGTAACACCTTTATGTCGTATTTCTGATCTTGTAATCATATTATAAATGCTTAAAGATTGTCCAATAATATAATTTTAAAATATTTAGACAAATCTAGAGCATTTACCAAAACAATGAACCAGAAAGAATCAAAAACAAATATCTATGACTATCTGAAGTAAAACTACGTATTTTAAGTTAAGATACAAATTTTGTGAATATTAACAAAGTTGTTAAAAAAATCTAATCGGTATTAAATTATTAAAACTCCACTAGATTTCGTGCCTTTCGGATTTTGACCTGTAAGTAAAATAAGAAAATAAGGAGATGTGTCATGATTGTTAGTTAGACAACTATCCACCAGATACCAAAGATGTGGATTTAAGCAATTATAGGTCACAGTACGACCTTCAACATTGAGCAAAACCCATACCGTATATTAAGCTGTAAAAGGCCCCGGTGAAATAATTTCAAGGGGAATTGGCCATCCTTCTTTATATTGATACCGTTATTAATGTAGCGATTTAGTCTGTTTTCAATAAAAACAAAACTTAATGTTATTCTATTTCTTTATAAGATTAACATGCTTTGTAGGTGATATTATGTGCCAAATGTTGCTCCTATGCTGAGTGTTTTTAACATTCTTATCGATTCTTACGTAGTTGAAAATAATAACGAGTCAAGAAAGTTTGTTTTAAAAGATTTTGACCAATCATATATCAGTTTGAGGGATTCCTACCCATTACATTAATGCATAATATATTCAAACCACCTTATCCTCTTTCCTCAGCTTTATCAGATAATTTTAAAAAAAAAACGGGTAAAAAGTATCTACCTTGTCTAGTGATATTTCTGACTTTCTGATACCCAATACTTTGGCCATATATTTAACAAGTTCTGTATTGGCCTCTCCATCCACTGGTGGAGCAGATATTTGAACACCTATTCCATCGTCTTCAAAACCTGCAAAAATCATCCATGTTAATGTAAATTAGTTCTTAACTCTCAGTAACGGCGTCCTTTAATTTGGTTTTCTAAAACACAGGATCTAATTTTGCATTAAACGGAATGACTTTCTTGGTATAACTAGGTTTTGAATCAGGTAAGCTTTGCGAAAAGATTATAGATTATTTTTACCTGTAATAGAATTGTGTTTAGCACCAGGTTTGGCTAAAATTTTTATTGATACAGATTTGTCAGGCTTCATAATAACAGGTCCTTCGTCTGTAGGTTGTACATCTGCCTTCTGAAATGAAATGTCAAGCATACATAAAAAAAAAACGATTAGAAATGTCCAAACAAATGCCTTAATTCTAATAAAAAAATATATTTACTTTAAAAAAAAGAAAAAAATAAGTATTCATATCACGAAAAAAAGTCGTATCATTTATAATGAAATATGCATTGAGAAAGTAAACATGAAACTGAACCATTCAACCGTACACGTGAAGAAAACCTTTCACTTTTCTTTGAATGCCCGTTTTGTCACGTGACACAGACTTCATTTCCATGTTTACATCTCATAACTTTCTAAAATCAAAAAGCAAATTTTAAATCATAACCAGAATATGATGCTTCTTATTGAAGTCTCACATTTTATTAATAGAAGTACGTTTTGATCTTATATTTTCAATATAAAGATAAGAAGATGTGGTATAATTGCCAATAAGACAACTCTCCACTAGAAACCAAATGAGGTGAAAGTAAACAACTATAGGTCACCGTAGGACCTTCAGCAATGAACAAATCACATACCGCATAGTAAAACTTATGAAATATTACAGTGTAAAAATATGTATTGCAGTAGATTGCTTTAGAGCATCTTTTTTGTATTCTTACGGCTACATACATTATCAATTGTTTCATATTCTTCCTGCTGCATTCCTTTATGCAAATACATGTAACATATTTATGATGATGCATTGTATAACTTTTGTCTGATTGTAGATCAAATTTGATATTATTTAATGAAAATAAAATGTGTTTAAAAATGCAACGGGTTATTAGTTACAAATTTATACATTTTTATTAAAATTTCGTTGTTTTGCGTATGAAATTTTGATGTTTAACACATATTTTATTAGGAAACTCAGTAAAACGAGTGTAAACATGCCTTTAAAAAATACCTATCCTTTCTCGGCTTATATATTTCAACTGTATGAATACGTGATGGTCTATTGTGCGTTACTGGTTATTACTTGTTCTGTCGATTCTACATGAAGCAATAGAACACCAAAGAATTACGTAAAACTGAAACTTGTTCAGCGAGACGATATCGTGAGAAGGGATTCTAAAACACAATAAAGCAATTTCTAGACACTTATAGATCATGAAAGTATTGAGTAGACGCATAACTGTAAAAACGAACATAGCAAACGTATCTGTATATGACTTGAAAATAGATACTAGTAGCTGCTGATTCTCTGCCAAGCACGTAGCATTTAGAAAAAGAGGCAAAGACTGGTCGACTCGAAGTCAGAGTAGGTGTCTTGTCTTACTAGGGACTGTTACCTTGTGATTTAGCTCGTTAAAACTCCGGTTAAGCGTGTTGGTACAAAGCAGGGTCCATACCAAATTAACGAGTTCTTGTTATAATATCCTACTTGCCACTGGGAATCAAGCACCAATGTATCCATCCACCCAATCATTCCACAAGAATAGTTAAAATGATGCAAATGAAACATTTTGTGAACGAATAAGCGTTGGACTGTTTCGTTAGTTTATTATTTGTGGTACTGATGCAAATTAAGATAGTCATTTCTCCGTTTTAATTGTTTCCATGGTGTAGTGTTCACCAAATCGATGTTTAATAAAAGGGCATGTGAGGTACTATAGTTAACGCAAATGAGACAATATCTTACCAAACAACCAATAAAAATAGACTGATAACTACATGGCATTCGATTATGAACATGACACAAATGCAATACGAATAGCTCTATTTCATAACATTCATAAGGATGCTATTAGCCTCGTGCAATCGTGATGGTTTCGATCCCCGCTTGTGTCAAACCAAAGACCATTAAACAGGTGTTTGTTCCTTCTGTGCAAATCTTGCGGTATTTAGAAATGAATATATGGTAGAAATATAAAATAAAGGAGATGTGGAATGATTGCCAATAAATGAGACAACTATCCACCAAAGACAAAACGGGGCAGATTTTAGCAACTATATAGGTCAACGTACGGCATTCAACGATAGCAAAACTAATACCGCATTGTAAGCTATACAAGGGACCAGAAATTTTAACAAAATTTAAAACAATATTCAAATGAGAAAACCAACGGCCTGATTTATGTACAAAACAACATACGAAAAACAAATATGATATACAGCAACAAACGAAAACCACTCAATCACAGGCTCCTTACTTGAGACAGGCAAATACAGAATGTGGCGAGGTTAAATAATACACGAAAAACAAATATGATTAACAGCCAAAAATCATTTCCACGCAATAGATTTAGCTGAGACATCAAATCCGTATTCTGAAACGAGAATCTTGAACAGTTTGAATGTTTGGTCTCGAGCGTACCTGGTGACGGTCATGATAGAAACAAGTGTCGTGGGCCTTGAAATCTATAACATAGTTACGTTTATATTAAATTGCAAAACACAAGTAGTCAGCTACCAACCAGAGCTTATCACAAAATTCCTGATCTTTCGGTTAGACATATGAGCATGTTCAATTTGATAGCATTTACTTTTATCGGTATTTACTATTTAATGTATATATCAAAAATACTTTGAATATATAAATATATAAGAAACAATACATTTAAAGGGTGACGTGTGTTTAATGAAAAGCTAAACCGTCTAATTTGTGGAACCTTATTATTGTGTGTGTATTTCTGTGTCTGCACCCGCAGGTCCAAGGTTACCTGTATGCAAAAAGAAACATTCGGGTTTGATTTATTGATTGATTGTTGTCAAGTTGTTTTGCGTCAAGTGGTTGTCTAGTATTTCACGCATATGCAGGACAATAACAGGTCCATGGTCATTCAATGATCAGGAAGGTTCTGTCAAATGGGTCGTTTTGTAATGAACTAATGTGAATGTCTACTTGAAAACAGCAGGTGTGTATGGAAGCGGCAGTTAAATGTGCAACAGTTCAAATAATATTATGCAGTGAGAGTTCTTTATTAGTCCAAATAATTATGGTCTAAACTTGAAAGGCTATTTTCTTCTTTTTTTCTTTTCTTTTTTTTTTTTGCTGCGACGTCACAGCAAAAAAAAAATGAAAATAGCCTATCGACTTCTCTTGAACTGAATTTTAATGTGCGTATTGTTATGCGTTTACTTTTCTACATTGGCTAGAGGTATAGGGGAGGGTTGAGATCTCATAAACATGTTTAACCCCGCCGCATTTTTGCGCCTGTCCCAAGTCAGGAGCCTCTAGCCTTTGTTAGTCTTGTATTATTTTTAATTTTAGTTTCTTGTGTACAATTTGGAGTTTAGTATGGCGTTCATTATCACTGAACTAGTATATATATTTGTTTAGGGGCCAGCTGAAGGACGCCTCCGGGTGCGGGAATTTCTCGCTGCATTGAAGACCTGTTCTTCTGCTTCTACTTCTACCTGATAATGGCCACAATCAACGAGCTGATTATTATGCCATGACTTAGGTGCGCATACAGACCCCCTCCCCCCACCCCCCAATTTGATAATTTAGTTCAGCTTTGTCAGAGAGGCTTTAAAGGCCTCGACTGACGATGCTGATGCTACCCCAGGAGGGAGAGCATTCCAATCCCTGATCGTTCTCGGGAAAAATGAGTATTTCCTGTAATCACTTCTGGATGCTGGAATTTGGAAACTTTTGTCGTGCATGTTCCTCGACAGTCGTGTTGGTTGCATAAGACGACCTTCCTTAGTTACAGCCACTTTGTTGTTTACTATTTTATAGAGCATAGTTAGTCTAGCGTCTTTTCGCCTTTTTTCCAGAGATGGCCATTCCAGGTGCTCAATCATTTTGCTGACACTTGAGTGGTTATGGTGTTTGTTGGAAACATATCTTGCTGCTCGTCTCTGGACCATTTCTAGACGATCTATTTCGGTTTTAAAGTATGGGTCCCATACTGGACTTGCATACTCTATTATAGGTCTTGCCAGGCTTTTGTATGCATTTTCTTTGACTGAAGTTGCTCCTATGTTTAGATTTCTCTTAAGGAAGCCTATTGTCCTATTGGATTTGTTACATATGTTATTGATATGATCATTCCACTTCAGTTCAGATGTGAAGGTGCAACCAAGGTATTTAGCACTTTTGACAGGTTCAAGTTTGTGGCCATGCAATGTGTACGATGTTGGAATGGTGTTGTTTTTGCGGCTGATGGTAAGAACGTTACATTTGTCCGGATGGAAGGACGTTTTCCATTTGACTTCCCATGTTCCCAGTTTGTCCAGGTCGTTTTGGAGGTCGTTTGAGTCTTTGTTGGTGACCTTCTGCTGTTGTCTGTTCTATGGTCGGGTTGTTGTCTCTTTGACACATTCCCCATTTCCATTCTCAATTTTATCAATACGTCATAATTATTTGGACTAGATCTATATATATGATGTATGCAGCGTCAAAAACTTTGTCCGATGTGGAGTTTTCCGCAGATGCAGAAGTAGGGAGCAGGGGCCCCGTGCATCTCTTATGCGGCTACATATCAGTATGTTAATGCATAGCCGGACTTTTTACATGTCCGACTCCAAACGTAATCCATTTTGGTTTTCTGTTGCACTTTCCGAGGGCGATTTTAACTAATTACATAGATTTGAAATGATTTACCACCTTTTCAGAAGCTTTTCCCTTCTTCGGCATTGTCTGTTTACATCGGCATGCACAATGTGATACAGTTTTAACTCGAAAGATCGCTTTGTGTAAGGATTGCATTTAGGATATACATTTGTACTTTCACTTTCTCTTTTAATCAATATAGGTCACGTAATCTGGTTCTATCTTTAACGTTATGTAAAATTTGAACCAGTAGAATGAGGTAAAACGAATGACCGAAAAGCAAAATTATGAAAAGTATAAAGAACTACTTGCAATTTAAAGAATAATTGTGTTAAATGGATGTCTACGAGAAAACCATGCAAAATGCAAAAAAAATATTTGTAATTGAGTCAAATATCATTGCATTTAATAACCCTACTTCTATATTTTAGTATGAGAGTATTCCGCGATTAACAAATTTTGATGCAGAAAGTGTAAGTTAAAATCAAGAAATTTTATCTGAAAATGTTGTCTATGTGGTAAAAACTTTATTTTCACACATACAAAAAAGATTTTGGTTGATTGAAAAATCAACTTTGAAAGATGAAATCATATCTTTTGTCGAACAGTTTTGGTCTCAACCGATCTGCATTGATCTTCATTGTCAATTTCTAGATTTAATTCAACTTAAGATGTGGGGCCGCAAACTTTTATAAAACTAATCAAATATAAAAAAAAGACTACTATTATAACTCATATTTGTTTTACGGTAGTCTCAGATTTTAAAACAATTATGCCGATTAGCATGCTGAATGTTCATTTATATGACAACTTCTAAATTAGTTTATCTTATGGTCATAATTACATTTAACTAAAATGCAAATCTGTTATCTAAAATTGAGGCTGATGTCAGTGAGACCTCGTATTTATGTTTATTTAATAAAAGAATTAAATGATAGCCGTTCCCTATTATTATATTCAATATTCCTTCGACAAGATTTCTTTCTTTTCATTTTTCATAAAAACTGTGTGCCCCTTTATCTGCCCTTTATGCAATCATTCAGGCGCATAGCTACGTTTACGTCAAAACGCCCGGGCGTGCACATGAATTTTGGAGAAATTTTTTTTTTTAATCCAAATAAATTAAAAGAACTGGTTAAAAGCACATGAGCCTTATAATGCTTTCTTAATTAAATGACATGTAATTGAAGACAAAAGTGACGAAATTTACTGTTTAATCAAATGGTATCATATTATATATATGTTTATTTTCTGCCAAAGTCTGAATCTACTGTGAATTCTACTCAGTTTACAATTATTTAAAGAAACTCATTATCTGCTGAAATACGATAAGTGGCTTCCATTTTTATGTTACACCAGGCCATCAACGAAAATTATTTGTTTCACGAGTCAATTAACAAAAAATGAGCGTAAAATTGTGAGAAAATTAGATGAAATCAATATAATTAATAGAACGACAGCATTGAAATGGAGACTTGCTTTTTTACTATCTCTATAAAGGTTTGAATATTTTGTCGATTGATTGTTTTACCCCACATCTCCTTTTAAACACATTTTAAAGTATCTGGTTTGGAATTTCTTTTCTCGAAAACAAATGACCATTAAATTCTAAATCCACACAATGAATAAATTTACTAAAAAAAGCTAGACTCTAAAAGTGAGGCGAAAGAATATCAAAGGGATATTTAAACTCATCAGTCGAAAGACAATGCCATGACAAAAATGAAAAACGACGAAAAGACAAACAACAGTACAAAAACACAACATAGAAAACTAAAGATTGAGTAACCGGAGGTGATCTCAGGTGCCCCGGAATGGTAAGCAGATCCTGCTGCACATGTGTCACCCGTCGTGTTGCTCATGTAAGTACAAACCCAGTAATAATTCTAATTCGGTAGGTCACATTTGAAGAAAAGAGGACAGGGTTGTGGTTACAGCAATTGGAACATATCCGTCGTCATCTGTGAAACAGATACTCCATAACAGTCAACCAACTCGTGATGACGTCCATAAATTTTTGGAAGGAAAAATTTCAACTTCATCATTAGGAGCTCTTGGTTCGAAAGTTTCCTTTTAAGCAGCAACCCTATATCAAGAAAATCACGATTGGAAATGCAAGCTCTGGAATATCGTATCAGCTGGGAGATATAAACTCCCGTGATATGCAGTTGCTGCTGGTATGTTGCTACACAGAAATGGAAAGCTCACAATTGGGAACCTGAAATCATCTCTTTTGTCGTAAAGTTTTGTTTTCAACTGACCAAAAATGTTGCTATTGATGAGTTTTTAATGACAGAAATAGTATCTCTTTCTCGATAACGCGTGAGATTCAGGGGGAGGGGGTCACCTCCTTCTAGGATGTCCTCTGCCATGGACTCGTATGAGCCCCTCAGACCCCTCGCCGAGGTTCGGGCGTACACGTAAAAATGGCATAGCTACGCCACTGATCATTATAGTAAAAAAATGTAATGTTGAACAAGCCTTAACTTAAAAATTATTTTTTTTTAATTACATTTCAAGTTAACTATCCGTGACGGATATAAAATACGTTCTGACAAAAAAATATATATTGCCTTCAATTTTGCAACAAACATGACAAAGGTACGTTAAACTCACAGTGGTCACAAGTTAAACTCTACAATCTCTATCATACATTTTTCACATGGTCAGTTTAGTGTGCATGTAAATAACATAAAATCGTATAGGAATATTTCACCATTGCTTATATTGCAAATAATTTCAGACTATCATCTTTACCATGCCAGTCTACTGCAAAAATGGAAATTTCATTTAACTTGACGACAAAATTTATAAGAAGTGTTCTTAATTTTTTCTGAGACTATGTTATAGTAGTCTCAGCCGTTTGTATTACAGATATAACGTATCATCAATTCAAATTTAAAACCAACAAAGTTTGTTTTCAAGTCGAAGAAACTTAGATAATTTGGTTTAATGAATAATTCTTATGAACCGTTAATCTGTCTACCGTCCGATTTAGATTAAGAAAGAAAACATGTTTGGTCAATCAAGTCAATATATATCATGAAACATCATTTCAAAAAAGAAAAAAAAAGTTGTTTTTTATATTTTTACTCCTTCATACTTATTAAAATCTATGTAGTTTTCAAATCACGACCAAAAAGTTGGTTAACGATGCATGTGTGTCCTGGAGAGAAAAACGGATAATGTAGGTTACTATCTAGCACGTAAATTTTATGGTATTAGGTAAGATCTTGCATCTGTATTTTCTAAACGTTTTGAAATAACTTGTTTTAGGCTGATAATACAAAATGTAAATTTACTTTGAAGAAAATAAAATGAGAAAAATAACAAACAAAAACTCGAAAATTCGGTAATACCTTTTGACAATGCCACTTGAGTTCACTCTTGGTCATCACCTGGTTTATGTTGTCTGGTTTTTTTTGCAAAACGGGAAAAATTCTTTAAATGAGTAAACACCCTCAGGCGTTCAAATGAGATATTTAACCGGTGTAAATTCTAGAATAGATACCTACTACTTGAAAAAAGCACATTCTCAGCAAAATGCAGCAATTTCAGGGGCGGATCCAGCCATTTTTAAAAGGGGGGTTCCATCCCAGGATGAAGGGGGGCGGGTTTCCAACCATATGTCCACAATCAAAAGCATTGATCCCAAAAAAAGGGGTGGTTCCAACCCCCGGACCACCCCCCCCCCCCCCTGGATCTGCCACTGAATTTTTGAAAAAAATGGATCAAGCACTGACTTAATCATGTTAATTAAAAGTTGCAAGCCTATTTGGCTTTTTGTTTAAAAAATATACAAATTAAGATTTGGGATTCAGGTTCATCAGAAGGAATACACCTTATCGCTATTCCCGCTTGACCCCAGAATCTGTCCCGCTTGAACTTTTGACGTCATACAACAATCACTTTTCCATTGTGGCGTCAGATATTTTCTATTATGACGTCAAAATTTTATGGGAACTTTTGTGATGTCCAGTTATGGCGGACAAATAACGATAAGGTGTATTGAAAAAATATGGCTGTGATTACACCACAATATTTACTCTTGAGTACAGACAAACCTGTGCACCTAGAAAAGTTTTAAGGCATGGCAGGAAGTAGGTAAATAAAATTCGAATGCATTTAATGTTTCAGAACATTAAACACTTACCTTGAATTTTGAGATTCTTTTTTTTTTTATAAAGCCTGCAGACGGTAATGAAATTAACAAACACCCGAGTTTCATTTGATATGGTCCACTCATTTACACAGTCCAGATCACCTATTGTTGTGCAGATATCTATTGTCCAGTTAATCAATACAACTACATGTAACTACAATTATTTCCATAGTGGAACATCTCAATTTACGCAAACATTTTTCTAAACTTAGTTTATTTTGGCACCTTCTGTGGAAACAAAAAAAAGGGACCACAAAATCCAGAGAAGTTTATAATTTTCTGAAACATTAAATGCATTTAAAATTTTCTAGTTCCTGCCATGCCTTAAAACCTTTCTAGGTGCACAGGTTAGTCTGTACTCATAGTAAAATGTGTGGTGTAAATTTGACCATATAATTAGCCAAAAGGTTATGATGAACCTTAAATGGCACAATGTACATGTACATGTAATATGATTTATATGTTGATTTTTTTTTTTGATTTTCTTATGGTACATGTATACAGGACTTCGTCCTAATATTACCCATTTGGTATAAGAACCTACAAACGTAAAGCTTTTATACTGGGGGCTAGAGATGTGTTACTCTGCATCATGTGTTGTATATACTCTCATTATGGTTACTATTATATTCAATTACTCTCAATAAATGGATACACTAATGATGGAACAATTCAAATAATTTGAAATTCATTATTTCAAAACAATAATTCTGTTTCATATTATATAATTAATCAAGTGACATTACATGTGTATTGTCAGTCACAGCTCAGACATAAGTCTTTTTTTGGTGTCTGACTTACGGAAGTCAATTTTGGACTTGTCTAAGTCACAAAATGACAGACTTGTTTAGGTCAATTTATGTATCATAAAACAGGATGAAAACTTTTAATTTGACTCTGTGGCTAAAGTATATCACTTATAATGACCATAAAAAATTCTCTGTGAATTAACAAGGACCTGAGCTATGTATAAGTTATGATCTGACTGAACATTTTTTCCTCACATGTAGGTTTTTTTTCATTTTATAATGGTTATAAAGGGTTGCATTACAAAGTGAATAAACATTGTCTCATTTTTTTTAGACTCTCGCTTCACTCATATTTTTCTTCAGAAGGCAAAGCTTTGCCTAACAATGTTAAAAAATAATTTCATGTAGATGTATGACCTTTACATGGTTGTGCTTAGGTTCTCGAAGTTGGTCAATTTTGGTAAGTTATCAACTTGAAGAAATCAATATTCACAACATTTTGATTTTGGTATTTATTTTTTGCTTTTAAAACAATAATTTACTTGTTTAAGTCATATTTTGTTTTAAAATAAAGGGAGACAACTCATGAAATATACCAATTTAGACCTCAACAAGTCAAAAACAAAAATAGACTCCTTCATGTCTTATCTCTGAATTACTGTGTAAAAAATATAGAAAAAGGACCTTAAAAGACTTCTCTGTTAAAATATCCATTTTGAATTACTTTGCAATCTAATTAAAATTAGTTCTCCACACTTGCTCCTCATTGCTCCCACACGCGACATATTAACAACGAGGAGCAAGTGTGGAGAACTAATTTTAATTAGATTGATTACTTTGTATCCAAATTGCAACCCAATGGTTGACTTGGGTATATAAATATGTTCATCCCTATCCCTGTTTTTTTTTATCTGACTGTAAAACCTATGCTGAAAGAAGAGTGTTCATTTGACGTGCAGGATGTAAAAATATCATGCAGATTGTTTTGATAGTGACTATTTTCAAGTGGCAGTCAAAATTCTTGCCCTTCATTGATTCCAGTAGGTCCTATTTGCAGAACCTACATGTACTTATTTGATTTATTTATTAATTTTATCTCATCCTGAATAATATGCATGAGATATCTGCCACTGTATGTTAAGCAAACAGCAATTAAACAAGCTTTACAAAGTTAATTTATGCTGAATATTGCAATTTTCATTTATTAAAAATACTCATTCAAATAGATAAATGTATTAAACTGTCATGACTGAAATTAAAACTACTGAACATTTATGCAGATAATAGTTGCAGGAGTGAATCATTCCTGAGCTGCTCATTTGTCAGTAATGGAGAGTTGTCTATTCAGGGGTTCATATTTATTTAAGAAAAGTTGAGGACCTTTGAAAAAACTACTTAAAGGTTCATCTGCATTGTAGGACGATCATACTTTATTTATGTATTTACAACTTTAAGTTATATATTAAATTACATATTTATTGATTGTCTCCCCTATTAACTTTTCTCTCTCATGTGAATGTGCTGACTATTCATTGTTCTATTATCTTGTATTTTATTATATAGACAAAAAAAAAATCATTGTAATCATTGTATGAAATTTAAAACCCACAAGGGTCCATAATTGGTCAAATAACGAATTTCTATTTCTATTTCTATTTCTATATACAGGTATAGAAAATGCTTTAGATTGATAATATGGATAAAAAGAGATGTGGATACAATGGACAACAACCCAAACAAAAACAATGATAATAAACCATTTTCTTTAATTCAAACTAAAAACTAAAATTTAAAGCATTATTGGGATCTGATCCAAGTTCTACAACTGTTTCTGACAAGATAAATAATGTAGACATGATAGTCAGATTGCTTACAGTCTCAATAATTATATCTGTTTATGCCTGTTTATGTCTGTTTATGTCAAATTTGAACAGCTGATCTTTTGATGATTAAGTTGTTAAATGCTTTAATCATACAAATTTATTTTCTATCCTCTGGAATATATGAATACATAATTTTATGCTTTATTTTTTATGGAATCTTAAACATTTACAATTTCATAACTTCTGCATTAAAAAGCATGAATTATAAATTTCCTGAACTATTTACATTACAACATCAGACCACATTGAGTGGTTGAATCGAGACTACCATTAATTTATATTCCAACAGTCCAAGAAACATTTTCCTCAGATTTTATTAGGATTGGTCAATGAGAAATTAATTTACATGTAGTATGAAAAAGTTGTGTTTGCAGGCAAACATTCATGACATTATTGATAATGCTGTCTACGATGACAATACCCCAATATCATATGTATACATCAATGGCATAATTACCTGTTCTATAAAATTAAAGAAGAAAAAAAATATGCTTTTGTAAAATAAATCCATGTTGCATTTTTGAAATTACACAAAATATAAAAGAAGTCTTATTTGTGTTGTTGGGTTGTTTACCTGTTGACACATGACCCTAATTTCCATTTATTCATATAAACTCAAATGCGTTAATGCTACTTGTTCCTGATACATTTGTATATATATAAGTAGAACAATGTGTTTTTTTGTTTGTTTATTTTTTTTACAATCTGATACTTACCCAGTGATATTTAATTAAAATTGTTAAAGATAAAAAAGGTGGTAATTACAATTGTTTATTTATTATACAATAGCATTTTTGATAGCAGGGAAATTTGTGTTTTTTTTATAGCAGGGAAATTTGTGTTTTACAGAGTGAGTTCAGTTCTAAATAGAGATACTAAACAATTTGGAAAAAAGTATTTGGTAGACGAAGAGGATGATACATGTTGGAATTCAGATCAGGTACATTTTAATACATTTTTTCCTGATATACTATCTGAGTAACACTAAATGATAAGTTTCTACATATCATTCCTCTTAAGTTCAGGTTTGATTTGACAGTTTCGTTAAGAGAAGAAATTAAAAAAATGAACAATGGTCTGTGAAAGCTACAACAAATGTATGTTTTTGTTACATCATAAAAAATGGATATTATTTTTATATTTCAAAACGTTCCTGATGTTTCAGGGAAAGATAAAAAATATGATTTACAATTGGGTTTCATAGGAACTTCTATAACATTACTGTAACAATTTATGCCCCCAATATTAATGACCACATAATGAGGACTCTTGTAAAGGTTCCTTGAATGATCTTTTTTATTGAGTTTGACAAGAATTTGGCATAGTTGGTTTATAGGAGAATACATTTGAAAATGTACCAATCAGGGTCGATCAGAATAAATTAGGAATTTTTATAAACAACATTCTATAGAGAAGATAATGAAACAAAATAATTAACAAACAACTGCAGTCAAGTGATTGAAACCATTCAGGCTAGTCCTTTTAGCTAGATTAGTCGGTAATCAGACGAAAAAGTGGTTGTTGGGGTGCCGTTTTTCTTTTCTTTAAATATATAAGTTTACAATTGTATGACATTATTTTTATACTTTTTTCATTTAAGAATTTTTTTAATGATCATTGATTTTTATTACTGAATCTGTTTATACATTTATGTAATTGAACTTGTATATTCAGGGATCACCACAGTGGATAGCAGTTGAGTTTGATCAAGAAGAGCATATTGCAGAAATCAGAATTAAATTTCAGGGAGGCTTTGCTGGAAGAGAATGTTGGGCAGAATCATTGGACACATCAGAAAAAATAATAGAATTCTATCCAGATGATATAAACTCATTACAAATATCCTTTTGCTATATTATGTTGTTCCACCTTAAAGATGTAACCTATAGCATTAATTGTTATTACATTTTGTACGTTTCTTGTTCTGAATAGGCATGGAATAACTGCCCCTGGATGTTAAGCAAACAACAATCAATTTATTAATTTATATTATAAAAGTTTTTAGATTTATTTACCAGTGTCTACAAAAATGATAAGACAAAATTATGATTGTTTATTACTTTGCAGAGAGATTATAGCTAGCCAAATATAAAGGTTTAGATGAGGACACCGATATGATTATGTCATTACAAATATCAAGATGCATAATAGCATCCTCTGATGTTCTACTACTATGGGGGTGTTTAACAACCTTGACTACCCATGAGGGTCTCGCATGGTCATCTGATGTTCTACTATTAGGAGGTGTTTAACAACCTTGACTACCCATGAGGGTGTCGCACAGTCGTCTAATGTTCTCATTCGTATATGCTTATTTATATTGAAATGGTGTACTGATTTAAGAAAAGGTTTATTATATTAACAAATGACTAATGTACAAACTCCCAATATTTTAAAATAACAAGCTAAAAAGTTTTAATGTCTTGTAAGGTGTACATGTTTATCCGACAAAGGTAAGCTGTCCAATAATCAACTTTTAAGTTGAATCTTTGGTTAATTGCTTAGTTTCCCTGAGTTATAGGATGACTCTTGATTTACATCATTTTCATGTTTCAAAAAAAATGATACATTGTAAGTTTTCTTGATTAAGGTTTAATCTATAATTTAGTATTATCATTAGGTCACTAGCATCAATGTAAGATGTACAGATAAGTGTGACTGGTGGAACCCTAATCTTCACCTCATTTTCCTGGTTCATTTGATTATTTCATGATACATGTGTAAATTCCTTATCTCAAATTCTGTTAATATCTTGATATTAATTTTATTCATTTATTAATTTATTTATGCTTATTTCAAATCCCAAGAACCCAATTGATTTGAGTTTCAGTAGGCCAAAGGTAAAGGTCACAGTATCTTTAATATGACTGAAAACTATGAAAAAAAATAATTTCCAGACAGTTAATCTTGGAGAGAGATTCAAATATTTACAAATCTTTGGTGTTTAATGGGACTTTGGAAGAAAAAGGACCCTATCTTCGATTTAATATCACATTTTTAAAGGGTTTGACAGCAGCAATAATTATAGACTGAAGCTTCGACAAATTTTATGTTTTAGATTATTTGACATATATTGTCAGCAGACTGTACAATTATCACATTCAACCAAATTCCTCCCTCCTTTTATTTGCTGCAAAGAAGATAAGACATGTCTTTGTTAAGCTGATTGATTTATACGCAAACAAATAAATGCATATGGTTTTTCTATGTATTAAAAATGTTTTTCTAATTGATGTGGGTATTTTATTAATTGTCTATGTAGATTTCCATATATTGGTAATTTAATATATATTATTTGACTATGATTACAACTGTACCTTAACTACTAGCACAGCTTTAAACTGGACAAACCGCAGCCTGTTAAGAAAATTAAAGTGATCTTCAACAATAGCACAGATTTCTTTGGTAGAATAACTATATACCAGTTTGATATTTTAGGGGAAGGATAATAAAATTGTTGAATTATTTTCTGATTTGAGCTTAATACATTCTTAAGCAGACGGTGAAACCTGCCAACTATCCCGATTTATGGGGGATATCCCCCATGAGAGGTGTTGACCTGAATTTTGAAATTCTTTATTATACAAACTGAACACCTCAAAACAGGCATTCAAATGAGTTAAAAGGGTATTTAAGCACGTACATACTCATCCAAACAATATAGAAGTGGATTAAAAACACTTATGACCATATAAGAGGAGCATTATTTAGGTCCTCTTGCACTTAAAATCCCCCATGGAGATTTTGAAAAGTTGGCAGGTATGCTTATGACATTTGAGCTTTAGGGAAAAGATTACTGTCAAGCAACCCTAAGACCTATACTACTATGTCAAGCATCTTTGTTCCAAGGCTCTTGGCATAACATTTTGTGTTTTATTAAAAAAAAACCCAATGAATATACATTAGATTAATGTGGTTTGAAGAAGGCAATCAAATGTACGTATGATCTTGAAACGACTATAAAATGTGTAACTTTTCATAATTTTCATGTTTTAATGTCTCCTTTCAATTTGTCTTGGCGACAACAAAGTCATAAAAGGAAAACTTTGACAAGCTGTTTTCGCTAACTGTGGCATCAACAGTTGTTTAAGTTTGTGATTAGGTCAGTTTCATGAGAACCATTTATGGTAGGTCACTAATAAGTTTGTGATTATGTCATTTTGAGGGGAACTACACAGGGTACCGGTAAGTCATTGATACAGTTTTTGATTAGGTCGGTTTAATGGAAACGCAAATGAAAAGTCAATATTTGGTTGTATTAGCATTGGCACATCTCATTGCCATAGCCATTATTTTTGCACTGCCACCTCAGTCATGGTCCATTGACATTAAAACTTTGCATAGTTTATATGATAAAGTTTGAGATTGGGTCAGGATATTCATTATCAATATCCTCCTTTGTCAGGAGTTTATATTTATGAAGCGTGGATTTAGTCAAAAGTATTGTATTTAAAGGAGCTCCTGAAATATGTCAGGCCCTCCATAATTCGAATTCAGGATATCTATAAATCACTGAGCACCCCTGGAATATTACAGGATCTCCATAATTCGATTTCAGGACCAACCACAAAATCTGTCAAATTTCGGTTAACAAATATGAAAATTTGAGTTGGTCGTACGTTTTAAAGATTTTTTCAGTTTAGTTTTTATACGCCCGTTTACGGGACGTATTATGGTATACCGTTGTCCATAAAACTTTGGTGAATTGTTTATATCTATTGACGTGAGCTCCCTTTCGATTTTTATATATTTTAGATTTTTCGTTTCCGAGTTACAGGGTTTTATTCATAAAAAAAGGGGGATTTTCCAGTTTTTGGACAAAAAATCAAAAATGCTTTCCGCAGTTCTTATGAAACTTTGGTGAATTGTTTATATCTATTGATGTAAGCTCCGTTTAGAATTTTATAAATTTTACATTTTACATTTCTGAGTTATGGGGTTTTATTCATTAAAAAAGGGGGGATTTTCAAGTTTTCGGACAATTATGATAACTCAAAAATGCTGTCATCAATTTTCATGAAACTTTGGTGAATTGTTTATATCTATTGATGTAAGCTCCCTTCACATTTTCATAAATTTCTAATATGACATTAATTGAGAATTAATTGAACTTTAATCATTGTTTATAGTCTGACAACAGATTTACTAAGTATTGCGCAACAGCACAGTGTATTGCACAACAGCAAGAAATCTTTAATTGAATATAAATTCAATTCATATAACCAATTTCAAGTTCTTTGACTACATATATTCAGAAACCTATAATATGTCAAATATTTAATACAATCCAAATTCAGACCTGTATCAAGCTTGAATATTGTGTCCATTTTTGTCCCAACTGTTCAGGGTTGGACCTCTGCGGGCGTATCCAGCTGCGCTCAGCGAAGCAGTTTATTAGCTTTCCTGACCGAATGGCCATTGTGAGCTATTGTCATCGCTTGCAATCCGTGTACATTTTTTTCTTCAAAAACCTTCTCTAACAACATTAGGTCAATTCTGACCAAATGTGATGTGAATTATTGTAAGGTTTTTTAGTTTTAGATATTATGGTAATAGATTAAAGGTCAAGGTCACACCAGCTATTGGTAGACTGAAATTTTGGAATTAATGGTTTTCAGATGTTATCAATATTTTCAGTTTAACTCATAATGTAGATTGAGTCGATGTTCTGCGTAGATACAAGGTGAGTGGTACAGATACGCCACTGGTTAATTTAAATACATAATTTTATTTCTATTTTATACCTGTTGCAGTTAAACTACTCAATCGAAAAATCAGTGACAAATAAATTTATACAGAATCAATGTTATGAAATGCCTATAAATTAATAGTTCGACGAGTATAGCGCAAGTCGAGAATTGTAAAACTATAGAGTTATTTCTCTTATGATAAGGAGTTGAAACTTTCCATCAGCAGAATATTTATTTTTCTACAAATTTTTTTGTCGTTTGTCTTGTTTGACCTTTTCTATTTGAATGATGTGTGGCCTTTTGAATATGATTTTTGATTGTCCCTTTTGTTTCTTTTACTTTTTGTGTATGATTGTTGTAAGGCAACAGTTCCACCTTCTTTATCATGTTTATACAAAGGCGACTTTATACGATTTAAATTATCCTCCTAGGTTTTCCTTAGTTTTTTATTTCCTGTTCCCCCATGACATAATACATTTTGAACTGTCCAAACATTGGGCGTTCTTGATAAAATTTAATTATTATGATAATATATAAAAAGAAACAGTTTCACTGAATCATAATGTATGATGTTGCTTTTCAATATTGTATACTAGAACGATCCTATATATCAAACGATATTTACGGAAAACGACTTAAAACTAGAGATAAGGTGACAAAGATCTCAAAACTATATCCCACGCCACAATAAAGCAATGGTTATGTCTGTGATATGCTTTGAGAATTCTTAAAATAGTTCACTAATATTAAAAAAAAATAGGTGGTGCACAATGTCATAACACAGTTAATATTCTAGGAAGTTTTAATAACAATGAGAGGTTAAGCTGTGGAGATGTAGAACCCCCTTTTAAGGAAAAAATATATTTGGAATAATAAACAAATAAGAAGGTGTCCAATGGCAGTATATGGTAAAAGTTCTGAAAACGTTTCATTTAAATCTGATTAAGGTTTAGGAATAGATGCGGACCGGATACAAATGTGTACTGTAGATTGACGAAGTCCTTGTCATGCCAAAGTTTATCCCAAAATATCTCAGATAGAGAACTGAAATAGAAGATGTAAAAGAACGTCATGTTAGTAACAATCTATGAACTTTTTTTAAAAATTCTGTCAATCTGTTCAATACCAGTTGTGGTACAAAAGTGAGACGGGCGGACTTTCCCGTCACTATATACCGCCCACTTAAAACAAATCAGGGTTTTTTTTCAAGCTTTTTGATACGTAACTAAACTAATTTACGTTAAATTACGTAGCAAACTTCCTATGTCTATCACAGTAGCTTAATAATCTTACAAGAAAGACATTGCGTAAGTTAATGTTTAATGTATCCCTTTGAGACTTTGATTTGTAGTGAAGCAGGTGGTATCAACATGCAGTGTTTGAATTTGGAAAGAATTAAAACTTCTAATCACTTAACACAAGTCTAAGTTTTATCGGACTAGGACGCAATAATTATATTTAAATGTATGAGTGCCAGTACATTTTATAATAACAGTGAAACTGAAACTGTCTCTCGTAGGAATCTAATCAAAATGGTTGATAAACTGTTGGGTTATGTTTAATGATTTTTATAAGAAACATTCTTTTAATTTATATAGCAATTATAAAGGACTTATTAATTTTAATGTCGCTTTAAAAAAAAACTTCGTAATACATTTCAAACTTATTTAATTAAAAAGGTTATTTGAAACGAGTTTCGTGAAAATTAATCTTTAGGAAATTATTGAACCAATGCAATAACTTTATGTGCGGTACGCGTGGGAATTTCCTTATCTAATTTAGTAACTAGTTATGCAAATTAGTAGGTACGTAAACGGGGTTTACGTTTATAGAAGGCTTGGCGGTGACCACTCGACTTTCAGACAATTTTATTTATATTGTTAAATATTATAATATACATGTGCAGTAATTGTGAATGAATGTGTATTTTTAGTATACTGATATGTAATGTTTATTTCATAGATTTGACACGATGAAGTGTTTTAGCAGCGGTGTTTAAGGACATTATTGTTGATGAAAAGACATTTATAGAGAATTAGTTATGTTGATTATGTTGAATAAATGGAAATGGTCACCGTGTCTGTTAGTATAAGAAACAGTCTTGTCTTATTTATATACATAAATATAAAATGAGTCAGTCTAGAGCAGAAATGAGGGGTAGAGTTGTACAAGAAAATTACCACAAGTTAAGCACATAAATATGCTATGTTCGTTTGAACATCGTGAACTAAGAACATGCTGTATATATACTAAACGAAGTCCTCTATCCACGATATTTTACATTTCTTACGAATCCATAATATATAATCGATAAAAATATTTCAATCAGTGAACACTTTGCCGACTTATAAAACAATCAACAAAGAATCACGGAGCACACGAAAAATAAGTGAGATGATAGATATGCAATAGAGCGATGATTTTTTTTATACATGCATTTCTATTTGTTAATTTTACTTTGTCATTGCAGTTGTTAAATGATTTGGTGTATTAAAATATTTCTTTCATAATTAATTAACACTATCTAACTCTAACGTTTGTTTGCCTTTTGTTTCATCACGGTTTTTCCTTCGCACTTGCGCTGTGCGGATCCGTAGTACTCCAGTTACGAAAAGTCTTGTGGTTAAGGTCACTGAATACGACGAATTAGAGTACGGGAAGACAATAATTCAATGGAAGTACATTTCTGAAGATTTTGATAAGATAAAAGTATTTTCTTTTAAATCGATTTATTGATTGATGTTTAACGTCACGTTCAGCAGTTGTTCTGCCGGTAC